AGGTGCGTCTTATGGTCAGATGCATCTTATAGAGTGAAAAATATGGTAGCTTTCTGTGGCCTGGAGGACAAATGCATATCCCAACTGCACCTGGAGGAATTCACTGGCACGAGTTTGAGCACCTCAGCTGTATGACACCTCAGCCCTAGAAGCATAAGAGCCCTGCTGGATCGGAGCAGCACCTGCAGCATTCGGTTTACTCAGCAGCCAACAAGTGCCACAATGGGAAAGCCAAAAGCAGGACACGAATGCAAGCACACCCGTCCGTCCGTGTCCCACAGGAACTGGTGTGCATAGGCATTGTGCCCCGTGAGTGAGGACAGCCCACAGCAAGTAGAACTAGAAGCTGTGCATCTTCCTTGAGTTTATCAAACCGTTTTTCTTGCTACATGCCACCAGGTTGCCTCTAACCTACGGCAACCTCATGCAATTGATCCATCTCATAGTCGTTCCTCTTTTTGTTGGTCTGGGTATTTGTAAAGCTCTCCTACAGCACTGTGGTTTGAATGAACCAATTTTCTTCCTGTTGGCTTTCTATGCTATCCAGTTTTCACACTCATACATGCCTCGGTCTGCAGTGAAACAGGCTTACACCCGATGAACTTTTCTAGCTCCTTTATCACTGCCCTTCCAAGCCTTCCAATACCTTGGCTGCAGTCTCCACCAAACTGATGATTGAGCCAAGGTGTGCACAATTTCACTTAAAATTTCACTGTTGACATTAAAGTTCAGTCAATCTTTGGTCATTATGATGTTTGCTTCCAATTTCTTCACTGCTGGATCCGCCTGTAATTGCCACAGTGTGGGAGCTGACCAGAGATGCCTCAGAGGGGATTTGAGAAGCCCCTTCATGCAGGGAAGGGGTCACATCACTCAGTTACGATCCTTCCCCTGGTAGGGACAGAGCCTGGGAAAAACGGGCCACTTTCCAGAGGCACAGGATGCCTGAACCGTGGCCTGCATTGCTCTTGCGGCTTTCAACAGCAGCTTGATGGGCAGAGGCTACAGTGAACTTTGTCCCCTGATAATGGCTGCCTATCTGGTTGCTATTAAACACACAGCCTACGGTGTGTCCACTTCAACTCTTCTGGGTTGTGTGGCGAGACTGGGAGAATATGGAGTGTGCTTTCTTTTCAGACTGTTTTCTCCTGGTTGACAACCTGCAGGCCTCTGGATCTCCTACTCTGAGAACTAATTGCTCCCTGCATCAGCTCCAGTACTGCGAACACACAGGCAGTGGAAGGCGAACTCTTCCTGGGATAAACCAGCAGGTGAGAGTCCGCTGCTTCTGTGCCCACGCCGACTCATCCACTTGTTCTTCTGCCCATCGGACATTCTCTGCCTGCTCCTGGCAACCAAGGAGAGCATCCCCCCACCTGGTGCTTGTCTTATTCCTGAAATATCTTGTGCTGAAATGTAAAGAGAGAAAAAAACTAGGGAAAGGGGTTCAGCCACTGAGGGAGGGGGGCTCTGTAGACCCCACCCTCTTCTCTAGGGTCTGAACAGAGTCTGGCATCTACCTAACTGCAGCCCAAGGGAGACATTCTGAAGGGCAAAGTACATATATTGCAGATAAGTTGGGGAGTGTGAGGAACAAGATATTAAGGTTTCCTCCAATCAGTTATTGATCTGAAGGTGAAATCTCTTTTTGGATACGTCAAGCAAGTTTTGAGGGGGGGGGGGGATTCCCCTGCCCCATCTAATGCTTGAAAGGCTTAGAGCCTGGTTTAATTATGGATGTTTTTAGAATAAAATGTGAAAAAGTGACTGAATAGCAAAACAAAACAGTGTCCCTTAGGTACATTTCTTGCAGGTACTTCCCCTTTTTTTAAAGCAAAGTAAAGCAAAGGGGGTTGGACGTTTTGGAATCAATCCTGCATCTGTGGGTTTACATGTAGCGCAATCCGATGCGTGTTTAACCAGATGTAAGATCACTGTGTTCAGGAGACCTTATTCTTAGGGACCCTTATTCTTGTGCCTTAGGGCACAATCCTGTGGCTGCTAGACCTTGTCCATATGAGAATTCAGAGTCCCGGTTGGAGCTGGAGCTTTGCCTGCACAGTCGACACGGAAAGAACTTTCCTGCAGCTGTGAGGTCGCGAGACTGAACTTGGAGATGATGCTGGGGGGGGGGGGGGGGTTCTGGGGGTGGTGAAGAGGAGGGAGTTTGTGCCTGGATCCAAGGTGCCTGAGCCGTGCTTCAGCCTGTCCTTCTCACAAGCAGATGCAACAGACTTAGGCAGCTACAGCTGGATGCCGAACTCTTCCTCAAAGCGGCATCTTCAGTGGGATGCTCATAATTCTCCAGTTCTGGAAGGTCTCAGGCACCCACTTCAGGCACAGCCTATTTTTAATGTTTTATTCATTTTCTTCTGCTGGAACAAGACAAGGGCTGCACCCCCCCAGGACCTCCCCAACCCTGCCGTGGCTCGGGAGGCGCTCCCCTTCCATTCATTCCAATTAGTTCAAGAACTGTTGCTACTGCCTTGGCCTAGCTGGATGCAGCATGTGATCCACAGTGGGCGTGTCCAGTGGTCCTAATGGCTGGGAATGATGGGAGTTGCAATTCAGCTCATCTGGAGGACATCAGGCTGCCCTAGAGGAATGCCTGCCCCATTGAGAGAGAGTCCAGTGTGTTTGGTCGGCAGGGCATTCTTCTTGGTTTCATTGCTATCCTGTTCTGGCTTCCTCTGAGGAGCTCGAGCTGGTGGAGTTAGATCCAGCTATGTCCTCATAGTAACAGCCCTGCGAGGTAGGTCAGGCTCTGAGTGAGCGGTGGTCACCCCATCAGCTCCCTACCCATCATCCCAGCCACTGGCTTGGACTTCGTGCAGAGGCCCTGAAGCCTGAACTGAGGCAGCCAGTCCTGCCTTCCCCCGGCGGCGACCTCCTGGGGGAAGCCGTGCAAGCAGCCACTCCCCAAGGGCAGCGCCTCATGCTGCAGCCATTTCTTTAAACAGGAAGGAAGCCAGGAAAGCTGCACAAAAGGCAGGGACTGATTTTGTCCTCTAGAAAGGGAAGGAAGCTTGCGAGAGTAAGGACTGTACCCGCCTCCTGCAAAGGGTGGGGGAACCCTGCTCCAGAAACAGACAACCTGAGAGAGAGAGAAAACACGCGCGAGAGAGAGATGCTCCTGAGGGTGCGCTGAAATAGAGCCGGGTGGAAGGGAAGCTGCACAGCGCCCCCCTTGGTCCCCCTGAAGCAGTCTTCCCAACCTCCTGACCCCCAGATCTGTTAAACTTCAGTTTCCATCATCCCCAGTGAGCCTGAGGCACATCTGTGCTCAGAGCCCATGTTAAGAGTTGGCGAGAGCCCCCCCCCCCCGAAGTTGCTGCTCCCCTTTGCTTCGGCAGCTGCCTCTGGCTCTGGCCCAGCAGGTCCGTGGCCTCCCCACCGCCTGGTTCTCTGCCAGTGGAGCGAGTAGCATGAGGAGAAAGCCCGCGGGGAGCACCAGGGCAGGTGGCCTGGGCAGGGAGAGGGTGGGCTCCCTCGGGGAGGGGGCCCGGGGAGTGCCTGGCCCAAGGGCCGCCGCGGCTGCATCGCGGGGGGCACTGGCACTGCCCTTCGAGAGGCCCTGAAGGCACCAGGCATGTGGCCAGTCGAGGGGATGGGAAGAGGCGCAGGAAGGAAAAGGTGGCCGCAAGACCTCAATGCATCGCACGAGGTGCTACAATTCACCTCGCCACAGCTTGCTTGCTCTTATCCTGTCGCCAGGATGACAGCAGTTTTCTGGTGCCTCCCCCCTCCAAAGAGGCTCAGGCGGGTTGACAAGAAGTCTTGCTGGGCTGCCCCAATCCCTTTGTTCCCGGACCCCCACCTCCCACCCACCCCTCCATCCCCTTTTCTCCTCCCTCTCTGGTCTTCAGAAGAGCATCCCCTCTCGAAGGCAAAACAAAACAAAACAAAACCACGCGAGCAGCAGAACACCCAGGGATGCGTTTCCAAGGCAACAGAGGTGCCAGAGCTGCATGACCCAGCCGCACAGCAGCGGCGGAAGGGGGAGTGTGGCGTTGCCATAGAAACGTGGAGAAAGAGCCTGGTGTTTGCGCATTGTCGCCCAAAAGGCAGATCCTCTTTAACGCTTTGGCAGCTGCCTGGCGGCGGCGGTGGCAGTGGGGGGACACCACACAGCCTTCCACGGAGAGATCACTGGGAGGAGAGCAAAGAGATCGGCTGGGGACCGCGTGCTGGAGCTTTGCAAGCCCGGCTCTCTGAGTTCATGTGCTGATCACGACTCTGCTCTGAAGCACCAAGAAAAGATCACGGGGGGTTTTTTCTTCTTCTCACCTGTTTTGCTAAAAAGCTTGGTGAAATGGAGCAAAGGTGCGATCAGACGCCCGACAGGACAGGAAAAAGTTCTACGGCTCCCAGCAAAAACTTTTTCTTTCTTGTTCTGTAGAGGACTGAACCCTTACAAAGTGAAGATCCCCACCGGTTATTGCTAGGGTTACTCTGCAGCGTGTCAAGGCAGCCTTGCTTCCCCAAAGGAACCTCCGTTTTCCTGCAGTTTGTCTTTCATGCTGAGGTAACAACACTCAGCATCTGTTCCCCTTTTATATTGTCTAAACTGAATGCCAGCGCTTCTCCTGTGTAAACAAAGAGAGGGACACAGGGATAGGATAGCTGCCACCTCTAGGATAACTGCCTGCTTAAAAACAGTTTTCTCAAACTGGCACCCGCCATATATAATGAACTGTAACTCCCATCATGCACCCCGAGGGTATGGCATGGGCTTCCACGGGAGGTGGTTGAGGCCCCACTGGTGAGGGTGTTCAAAGATAGGCTGGACATGCATATGGTGGGCATGTTGTGAGTGGAGCCAGCTGGAGCCGGGGCTCAGACTAGATGGCCCAGGAGGCCCCTTCTGACTTCTATGTTCTATGTTTCATCCCCATCCATATGACCACCAAACATGCTGTCTGGAAATGATGGAGATGGCAGGTCCATTGGGGTCCTGGATGGGAAGAACTGTTAGAAACAGTTTCCGAACCAAATTTGGGGAGATTCCAAGGGGTGCACCCCAAGAGTCATTGTAATGTCAGAGGATATTGAGGTCATTCCTTGGCCTGAATGACACAAGCTTATTTTGCACTACTGCCCCATATTCAAGCAAAAGAGAAACAATCACTTTCAAAATGAAGCTAATTCAGATTATGATACAAACTTTTGCAGAGTGTTGACCAGTTGTACGGAGTGTATTATGGAGAAGATAGAAATAGAGGTATACACTATCTATCTAGAGCTATTATATTCATATCCCACCTTTTTTCTTCAAAGGAACTCAAGGTGGCCTTCCAAATTCTCCTCCTCTCTACAACAACAATCCTGTGAGGTAGGCTGGGCTGAATGTCTGACTGGCTCAGTGAGCTCCGAGGCGGAGAAGGGAGTGAGGTCGCCTGAGTTCCAGTCCTGCATTCTTAACCACCAAACCACAGTGGCTCTCAAATTCTACAAACAGACACATACATGTTTGTAACCATGACTAGCACATCACTTCTCGCTATCCCAAACCAATGCCTGGTTCAATGGAAAAAACCTAAAACAGAACTCCCACAGCCCAAGACTGATTCCCAGATATGAGCTTGCTTTTTTTCCTGCACAGACTTCTATTTTAGACTTAACGACATGTCAGTTTATTAGATGTAAAAATATTCAAGAGAGTCAGTTTTTTGAGTAATCACAATGTTTTGGACAATCTGTGTACTGATTTCTAGCTAATCTGGGGGTGCCTTAATCATATTCCTGATTTCTAAGCAACAGTGGCATGAAGCATGCCTCTCGCAGATGGTTCAAGTCCCTGAAGCTGTCTTGGATGTCATATGTGCCAAATGGTATGGAAATACCCTCAAAAGTGCAGTAGCTCCATGAGTCAACTCGCCTGCCATGAGCATCAGTAAATGGAGCAAGCGTAACATAAATGCGTTTCCGACTGCTAGGGAAAAGTCGTCTTCCAAATCACTGGCCAGCTGATCGATGTCCTTTAACCAGAACTTCTGCAGCCTGACATTCCCTTCCCAGACTATATGGGACTTGGCTGGTCTGTAGCTCCTAAAAGCTCTGTAGGCAGAGCTCAACCTGGTATAATACATGCTGGTTTTTTAAAACTTCCTAGAATTGCGCATGTCTCCAGGTATGTGCCTACTAAATTTCAGCTAAGTGGTGTAAAATTGCAGGAACCACCTGGAGCTCTGATTATCATGCTTTATTTGTGGGGTGGGGGGAGATCTTACAGCTGTCTGCCATTCAGACTTTTCTGGTAACCCAAGAACCTCAGTTTTCTGGGTAGCTTGGAACTATTTCAGCCAAACAGGGGTGCCCAGTGAATTGTCCATTTGGATGCAGCAATACTCCAGTGTTTTCCTAATGAACACTGTGCCAGGGACTGTGCCTTATCCAGTTTTGGCTTCCCGGTGAATACAGAAGTCACATAATATTTTAGGATACATTTGGAGTCTCCTGCGCTGCAGAAGAAAAAGCCAGTTTCCAAAAGCTTCTAGCAATTGGGGTACAAGGGGCTGGACTGTGGCTGGACCAGATTCTAGTTTTGTGAAGAAACACTACACTTCCTTCATTTATGGCTTGCTATGTTTATATGCTCTGAATGGCATCTAAGCAAAGCCAGCAAGAAACTGAGTAAGTCAGAGCCTGATTCTGCATAAACCAGTCCTGGCCGCCATGGACAGTTGCCAGGGAAGGGGGCCTTCAAGTGGATGCTTCAAAATAATGAGGAGAGAAGCTACCTATCGATCAGCCAGGCAAAAAAAGGATGAACCGTTAGACGTTTGCCAGAAGTTCCAGCCAGCTGATTTTTAAAAGTGATTTCATTTGAGGGCAAAACTATCAGCTGGAGGATGGTTAAGGTGGGGGAGAGTGGTGGGTTAGCATGCAGACAATGCAGGAAAATTCAGGGAAATGGGACCTGGAATCCGGAGCTGGTTGCTGACAACAGTAGGCTGGGCTGTGAGGTTGTGGAAAAGCTTCGAGGAGACAGCAGAGCCCAGTACCAGAAGGCCAAGGGCAGAGGTCTGACCAGAGGGAACTTCAGCAAATAGTCTTGGGAAATGAATCCTACTAGAAGTCAGAGGCTGCAGGAAGAGATGGAAACAGAGGAAGAGTGGAGTGCAGTGGCTGTTCGTGGCTGTGGGAGATCAGCGGGGGTAGTTTAGGGAAATGGGATCTGGAGGAAATGCCATTGAGCATTTATTGAGCTGGTGAGGGTTCTCATTAGGAGCAGCTGTCAAAGAGACTCAAGTACTTTTAGCCAATCTCTCCTATTATTTGAAAAGAGATCATTTATTCCCTTGTGTAAATCATTCCCTAAATAAATAGCCGAATTGTGTTCGATTTATGAGCCAGTCTCTTAGGGTGATGCCAATCCCATGCCTGCAGCCTAAGAACCAGGCTGCTCGATTTAGCCATAGAGGGTGACCTTCAGTGGCGGAGATTAAAGGTTTTATGCCAGAGAGCTCCATTAGTTAAACTGCTGTTCTGTGAATCTTGGCATAAGCAAATGGCAAAGTTTTCATGCAAGAAATAGCATCTATCAGTTACAATAGGTGTGCATGAACCGGATACCCCTGAGTATACAAAATACAGCTATCAATAAGGACAATTATGCATTCGCTTCAAAAAGGCAGATTAAATCTCTATATATTTATCCATGGGCAGGTGGCAACTGAATGCCACCCTTTCAAATGCAGAATCGTCATTGGGTCCTCAATGCTTTGTGTTATAGGAGGTACTGATTTTTCCAGTTTTGTAGTATCATCTAGTTGTAAAGGGTAAGGAAAATCAATTTAGAATGTCCTTGTGTTAATTCCACATTTCAGAGGGGCAGATATTAGATACTATCAAAACGTGCATTGCCAGTACTGCATCTCTAAGCTGACCAACTTAAACACACCCTTATTAAAAAGGGCAGTGAACTCACAGACTGAAGCCTTGAATGCTTCAATATGGAAATTAGAAGCAAGATAAGTCTCTGTTGTTCTGTCACAAGCTAATAGGGAAGACTCCTCCCACAGAAACCTGCCGGGATTTTGAGATCCCAAGGAAAGGCCCTTGTCTCCCTCAAGCTGCATTTGCTATTCTAGTCTTCCGTAACTGTGCAGGCTTGCCAACAGATTAAATGTGGTAGGAATATGATAGAATCTTTTTGGTGGTTGTTCCCAGCTCTGGACCTCATTGATGGGACAGGCCAAGCCAGGGTAGAATGTCATTGTCCATCAGCAGAAAGTCAAATTACATTTTTATTACATTTTTATTCAGGGGTACTTCTGGCTTTTTAAGCTGACTTGTTGCCAGAATAGGTTTTAACTGGCAGGTGCTGGCTTTGTGTTTTAATGATCGTGTATTCTATCTTACATATTACCATAAGCTACCTGCAGCACTTGCTGTACCTGAAAGGTAGGATAAAAATGTAAGAAAGAATTGCAGTACATACCCCCAACAATTTTAGCAGGCCCACGAGTGTGCTGAAGGACTGGATTAGGGTCAGTTAGCACTGCTGACTGGGGCATGCTGGGAGTTGTAGGCCTTTTTTGAGTCCCACATATTTAGGGTCATGCCTTTCCTCAGTGAGAGTCAGGCATGCCCTTGTCTATCTAGGTACCCATCCGTCCATCCATGAACCATTATAAGCACGACACATGGACATACAGCTTAAGTTCCTTGCCTAAAGGAATCTTCGGCATTTTGTACTGGAATTCAAAAGTTTCTTCTCTCCAAGCCTGCCATTTTCAACTCAGGAAGAGTTTTTGCTGTTTCCTACTTTTTCTCAGGCAGCTCCTGATGTGTCCACAGCGACCCAAATCCACTACAGGTGCTCAGCCCCACTGAATGCAAAGATGGTCCCCTGGCGCTCCCTGCTGAAGACTGTGGGTATTGGCCTGTAAGCCAGCAGATGTTTCTAGCCAGATGTCCGGCTCAGCTGCACAAACACAAAATCAGCTTTGCTTCTCTCCTTGCAGGGCCAGGATGCTAAGATGAGAGGCTCCTACTCAAGACAGACAGTAGACCCTTTAATCAATTATTAAAAACGGAGGTGAAAAGTATTTAATAGAGTAACACTCCATTACTGCTACTGCAAATGGCCCCTTATCTTAAGCTAAACACAGATCCGTCGCAGACTGCATGTCAGTATTTCATTTCCCACTGCCCTCCCATTTGCTATTTTTGTCCTCTGTATCCATGTATATTTGGCAGCTGAGGAAATCATTTCATGCATCAGATGAAGCAGACTTTAGTTCGTAAAAAAACCTGTGTGCTGTACAGGAGGGGAGCTTCGGGAACCCCAAGATCTATTAATCAGAGCTGGGTGCAAAAGAGAATGGCGCCTATGGAGTCCTGACTGGGCCCCATGGGCCATGCATGCCCTCTATAGGTATAGTGAACGCATACGGAGTCAGTGTGGCCTGGCAGTTAGAACACTGGACTGGGCCTCAGATCTGAATTCTAGTCCCACTCGGGCCATGAAGCTCATAGTGTGACTGTCACAGACTCTCAGCCTGACCTACTTTGCAAGGTTGTTGTGTGGATAAAATGGAGAGGAGGACCTTTTCTCCATGATCTTTCCAGGGCTGCTCAGGATTCCACCGTGGGCTTACATCATTCTCTCAGTCTTATCCCCACAACCACCACCCTGTGAGGAAGGTCGGGCTGAGAGACTGTGGCTGGCCCAAAGTCACCCAGTTGGCTCCATGGCTGAGCGGGGACTTGAACCCAGGCCCCCTGGCTCCCCAGTCCAGAACTCTTAACCACCACGCTGGCTTTTATGCACACTGGTATGTTTAGGGAGGTAACACTTGGACATCCTGCATTTTATAAAAGCCCAGTATTTTATTGTTGCTACAGGGAGACCCAAGAACATGCACAGCATGATCTCAATTATGGCTCAATCTCTACATTAAATTACTGCAGTGCACGCGACATGGAGCTGCCCCTTGGTAGAATGCAGCAGGCAGGGATCTGCAGGTCCAAACAGGTAAGACCAGGTCTGGTCCACTGGCATTGGCTGCTTGCATGCTTCCAGGCCCAATTTGAGGTGCTGGTTTTAATCTGTAAAGCCTTACGTGGCTTAAGACTGCACTACCTGTTGGAGCACCTCCCCCAGCTGCCAGGTACTCAAGACGCTAGGCTCACCTTCTGGGGCCTTCCTCCGAGTGCCAACTCCAAGGGAGGCTGAAGGGGTGGCATCAAGGGGGAAGGCTTGCTCGGTGGGTGCCTCCCATCTAAACAACCCCCTCCCCACTGAGGCCCACTGGGCACCAAATTGGGCATCTTTTGGGCCCCTGCTTAAGATGCCCCTTGTGACGAACCATTTAAAGGCATACTCAGCCACCCATGGGCTTCAGGGGGTTTTCCCTTCCTTTGACAGGGTAGATTTTTATTGTATAGTTTAGCTATTTAAAATTTATTTTAACGCTGCTTTGTTTTTATGATATTTGCATCTTATTGCTGCTTGATTTTTATGCAGTGTTGCAAACCACCCAGAGAGCTTCAGCTATAGGATGGCATAGAAATGAATTAGTATTAATAATAGTCTGTTTTTGGCCACCTGGTGCTCACCAGTCGCAGAGGACTACGGCTGCCAGGGGGTGGGACACTGCTGGCGAAGCAGGATGCCCCACTGGGGAAGGCAGCCCTAGATCGAAGACGGGTCTTGGTTCCCACGCTCAACACATCCTCAAGACAGCTGAGCTTCTGGCGCTGGCTTCTCCGCTGCACTTCGCTGGCGCTTGGTCCACAGAGACGCCACCTGTGTGTAGATTCCACCTCCTTCGGGCAGGAAATTGTACCACGGGGCTTGAGCAGTTGTTCTGGGGGCAATGAAAGATCAATTCGTGCAAGGTGGTAGGAGCTTCTACATTCTCCTCGCCAGCCTCACCCTCTTCCATCTCTCTAAGCTTCTCCCTGTCTGGCTGGGCTCTTCCCACGAGTCTTTTGCGCCAGATTTCTTCTCCGCTCTTCCATTAAAGCTGACCACTACCAGCCCCTCCCCCGCATCCGTAATAGGAGTAATTAGGTAAATTGGCATGACTGTGTTTCACTGGCATGACTCTTCTTCAGTTGTCTTTGGCGGGGGGGGGGGGCGGTTACTGTTTTGCTTGTGCTGATGCAAGCGCGGGGAAGAAGTGGCCGAAGGAGCCTGGGGATGCTGAGTCAACCCTGCGCTGGATTTCCCATCGTCAGCTGGGGACTCGGGAAGCGGCATCCGCCAGAATGCTGAGCAATACCGGCCCGCCCTCACACAACACCTCGTCATAGCGTCTGATTTTTGTGCTCAAGGCCTCATTTAGGCTCAAAGCGAGCTACAAACCGAGCAAGGGCAATCTGGTCTCTCCCCGCCTGCTGGAGTCCCTGAGGAGGATCTGTGGCTTGCTGCAGAAGGAGAAATGCTGCTTCTCCCAGGTAACAGAATCCGGGGTCAATCCACAGGGCTGAAGAGTGGGAGAATCGGCGCAGGTAAGAGGTAGGTCTCCAACACATAGTGCATAGTCAAACTAGAGAATTCACTCTCTGATGAATTGATTCTAAAAAAGATCCTGGACTGTGCAGAAATGGATAGATTGACTTTATCATTGAAGGAGAAAGAAGGTACTGACTTCTATCAAACTTGGGACTCTTTTTATTCTTGGCTAGAGAAATGGGACTTCGTATAGATTTAAATATGTTTTTAAGTTATCATAAATGGAAAAAAAATGTGGGGGCTGGCCCAGCAGGCCAGATGTTTTTGATGATTGGTGCTGTTTCTAGTTTTTCTTTGTGTTTAGGATAATTCTGAATAAAAATTATTATTAAAAAAAAAGAGAATTCACTGTCTAAGATACCATGATGGCCACCAACCTGGATGCCTTTAAAAGATGAGACAAATTCAAGGAAGATGGCTGGCTCCTAGTTCTGATTGCTACGAGTGGCATATCTCCACTCTTAGGGCAGCAGCGGGAGTTGAGAGGGTCAGAAGCCGAGAGTAATGCCCACAGGAGGCAAAGTTTCCCACTAGGATGGCCTCCTAGCAGGGCTACTCAAGGCAGAATGTTCAAAGCTGGACACCAGAGTAAGATGCAGCCTCTTCAGGAGTAATGCTCACATCAGCAGAAGAGAAGGGACCTTTCTCATGGTACAGGGGCAGAAAAACTCCTCAAGGGCAGCTCCTGGGTAGCAGCAGTAGTCAAAGGCGACACTGGCAGAGGATCTTTCACAGACGCTTGAGGGAACTCTGGTTAGTACTGCAAGAGCGGAGCACTTCTGGATATTGCCTAGCCTGTAAACCCTTGGATGGAACAATCCAAAATGAAACGTGTCAGAAGGTGTGACTCCTGTCCCAGCCAGCTATTCAAGGCACTCAGCGAGCTACTGGGACGAGCAAAGGGCGAGTATGAATAGTGCCATCACTAATGATGCAGCTCGGTCAAAGCCATAAGGAAGTCTAGAGCCTCATATGCACAGAGGTGAAAGAAAAGTCTGATGCTGCACATCACAAGCAATTGGAACATAAGAAGTATGAATCACGGCAATCACGGCATGGAAACTCTAAAGCGAAAAATGGAACATCATTATACATCATTGGTGTGAACGTACTCATTTGGACCGGAAAGGGACATTTTCTGTCAGGCAAACACAAAGTACTTTACTCTGGAAATGAACTCAGAAGAAATGGAGTGGCTCTAACGCTGAGGCAAGATGTAGCACAGGCAGGAAAAGGTTATCAAGTCAAGTCCAACCAATTAATAGCAACCAGATAAACCTATCAAAGCCACCATTCAAGTTTACCGTCCAACAACAGATTCTGAACAGGAAACTGAAAAATGTATGCACGTGTCCAACAAGAAATTGCTAACATAGCAAAATAATTACACTGTTTCTTCTATACCAGTTACACTGCCAATTGAAACCTGGGCCTGATTTAAAGTATTTGTTTTAACATACAAAGCCCTAAACGGCTTGGGACCTGGTTACCTGAAGGACCGCCTTTTCCCATATACTCCCACCCACCCACTGATATCTGGGAATGAAGTCCTTCTGAGAAAGCCATTCCTAAAGGAAGAACAAGGAATGGCATTTAGAAGAAGGGCCTTTTCTGTGGCGGCCCCCAACCTCTGGAATGGGCTTTCTAAAGAGCTCCGCCTGGTACTATCTCTGCTTCCATGGTCAGGTAAACACCATCCACTTTTGCAGATTTTATAAAACCTAACATGTGCTCACTCTACTCCAACAGATTTTCTCCCTTCTTCCCCCTGTACTTGTACTGTGAGCTGTATATTGATACTGTTAGCCACTTAACGAGTCCTGTCGGACCACTGAGTGGCATATAACTATGAAAATAAATAGATACATAAATGATCGCAATTTATGATTAGAAAGGAAGAGTAGGAAACAAAGCAGAACCAACTGTTGTGGTGAATTTGGCTGAGGGCTCAGAGACAAGCCAAGAGAATGACTCATAGACTTGGAAGGACAGGAGAGAAGGAACAAGACAAGATAATTGGGTATAAGAACACTTTGCTGGAGACCAACTCCAAGTTCACCCACACTACTGTATTCCCAATCAATATATATGGCTGTGAAAGCTGCACAGTGAAGAAAGCAGAGAGGTAGAAAAATTGTGCATTTGAAAAATGGTGCTGGAGAAGATCTTCGTGAACACCCTGGACTGAGAGAAAGTGGATCGTAGATGAAATCAAGTCAGAACTTGTCCTAGAAGCAAAAATGACAAAACCGAGGGCACAGTTGTACTTCAGGCCCCTCAAGAGAAGGCAGAACTCCCTGGATAAGCAAATGACTCCACAGAAAGTTGGAGGCAGAAGGAAAAGACCAACAGTGAGATGAAATGATTGCATCAAGGAAGTCATGGCCTTGGCTTCACAAGAGGCTGTCACGGAGATGGCGTTTTGGAGGACTTTCATTCATAGGGTCGCCCAAGTCGGAAACGACATAATAGCACAGAACAAAAAGGTTTGGTAAACTCAAGGAAGACGCATGGCTCCTACTTCTGCTGGGGCGACTTGGCTGGCGTGCCAGCAGAGAGGGCTCTCCATGCCCGCTGTGGCATGCGTGCCATAGGTTCGCCACCACTGCCATAGGCTGTTCGCCAACAGAGCACAATGCCGATGCTCACCAACTGCTGTGGAGCACAAACAGGCAGGTGCGAGGGCTTTTGCGTCCCACTTTGGGCTTTCCCACTGCGGCCACCCATTGGCTGCAGTGCAAACACAACACTGCACGAGGCAGGTGCCGCGCCGGTTCAGCAGGCTCTTGCGTTTCTAGGTAGACGCTTGGCTAGACGCTCAAGCTCAGGCCACAGTGGGCTCCTCCTGGTGCAACAGAGGCACCCTTTTGTCCTCCAGGCCACCAAAAGCTAAAAAGAAGGGATGGCAGGCCAGGCCCATCATTCCTCACGGTGCTTGGAGGCAACCAGGTGCAGCAGTATCAGCCCAGGTGATCATAAGGAAGGATGGGCCTCCAGGTGCACCCTACCCCCTGTGGTGCTGGATGGGAAGGATGTGTTACCCATCATGTGGCCTGCTTACAAGCCCTGGTTCATAAGCACTTAACTCACGTCACTAGCTGGGTGTATAAGTGCAGACATTTCCTGGCTGTGTGCACGTGTGAAGGGATGACAGGGGATGAAAGAGAGATCAATACCAGCCTGGGACTGGAAGAGAGCCTCAGTTTGTTAGCCCGTTTCTTTCTAGCCTGGGACTCCCCACACCTGCGCGCCTCTGTCAAGCACCTCAAGTGTCAGCCCAAGCAGAGAGGCTGAATGTGGCAAGATTTCCCAAAGAGGGCCGAGAATTCTTCAGGACTCACCCCTGGCAGCTTTTCTCTTGGTTATTTCTTAATGTTCAAAAGATAAGGTGCAACCCTTGGATTTTCCTGCCTGTCTCTCCTTCTGCTTTAACATCTATTCCATTGGAGTTTAGATGAAAGAGACAAGATGGGCTTTGATGGATTTGTCCATTTATCAATACATCTTGATTCCAATACACAACCATGCAGCCCTGCTGAGCAGCATCGCCTTCTTGGCTCAACCACAGAACAGGCATCAGCCATCTGTAGGCAAGGCCAGGCAAAGGTAAGCGGGCAACCCTCTGTAGTCCATGGCAAGCTTGCAGTTTTGACACTGCAGGGATGGTAGACCTGGGAGACAAGCAGCGCCAGCAAGGTGCTGAACAACCTGCCACTCACTCACCTGGACTCTGACCAACTCTGCCTCTGGCGTTTCTGCTTCAAGGGAGAAAGAATCCCACCAGTTCAAGGGTGACCACAAGCAATATGTGATTAAGCAGAATGAGCTGGCTCAAAGGAAAGGAACCAACCCAAGCTCAGTTGCAGAACGACACCCATGAGGGAATCAGGCCAGAGTACAACCGGTGCATTTCATTTAGAGCTGCCTGCAATACTCGCTCACAGCATTCCTGCCTGGGCTTCTGCAGAGCACTGATTGCAGGTCGGCCCCCAAGATGGGGCAGCTGAAAAGATGCTCCCCAGGCCAGGCGCAACCCTGAAAAGCCCCAACAGCCTTCCCCAAACTCCAGCGCAGGCTCAAGCGTTTTCAGCAACCAGGAAGTGGCTAAAAGAGAGCACTGGAAAAAACACTTTTCTACCATGAACCTGGGATCTGGCCTGGGCTTCGATATGAGACCGTGCAGCCACTCTAAACACTTTTTAAAAATGTGCTCCCTTTATCTGCTTTGACCTGTCCTCTTTCTTTGCGGTCATGACCAAAGACTGACAGGGAGCTTTCTGTCTGGCTCAGAAGGGGACTTGGCCCAGGTTCTGGGATGCAGGAAGCACAAATCAAGGCCAAAGATCGTCAGCAGCTACTGCACTGATCTGATCTTTTCAGCGTTTCCACAGTTTCCTATTGAGGATCCTAAGTGCTCCTGGACACAACAGTTAGGAGCAGCTTGGGGGTTTCTTGCACCCCTTGGCAAAATGTCCCACGGAACAGCACAGCTCACGTCCGCACCCTTCCAGCCAGCGGGACTTGGCTGACGGCCCAGGCGAGCTACCTCGCAGTGAGTGTGCCGCATGCTTCCCCGCAGCCCGGATCTGGGGGTGGTGGGTGGGGGAGAACGCGCCTCTGCTCACCACCCTCCGGAGCCGGAGCTGGATGCATTCGCTGCCAAAAGGCACGGCCCGCAGAGGGCATGCGCACAGTCTCCGGGCGCGTCCACTAGGCCTGGTAGAGGGGAACCACGCGGCTGATGCGGCTCCTGCAGATGGGGCAGGTGTGGCTGGGCAAGGCCTGGAAGCAGCGGAAGCAGCAGCAGACGTGGCCGCAAGGGAGCAGGACGCACTCGCGGGGGCTCGCCAGGCAGATGACGCAGGCGTTTTCGGGCTGGTCCTCGGACGGGTCCAGGCCGCTGCCCCTGCTGCGCGAGAGCTCTTCGAACTCCCGCCGCTGCGCCTCCTGCTGCTGCTTCAGCTGGCGGAGGCGGTAGGCTCGGCAAAGGGCGTGGAGGACCACGGCCGCGGCCGCGAAGCCGCACAGCAGCGTGGCCCACTTCCAGAAGCTGCTGACGGACTGCAGGTCGGCCAGCAGCGTCTGCCAGTCGCCCAGGCGCAGGAAGTAGCTGGTGCCGTCGGCTGGCGGCTGCAGGTGGAGGGACCCGTCTGGGTGCAGGACCAGCTCACCAATGCCGGTCAGGCTGCTGCCCACCAAGAGCATCTCCTCCGTCTCCAGGAAGCCTTTGGGCTTCTCGCCACTCAGGTAGTGGCTGACCAGATCCTTGAAGCCGTGGGAGGTCTGCTGGAAGCGCTCGTACACCATCTCCAGCGGCAGCTCGACGGCCTGGAGGGGCGATTCCACGCTCACCTGCACCGCTGCCTTGCCGCCGGGGGACACCAGGACAAAGGGCACCGTGTGGACCTGCTCCAGCACCACCCGCTCACTGTCGGTCCTGCAATGAGACAAGAGCCTGAGAGCAAAGGCCGAGAGCCCGGCCCCGAGGCAGTTGTGCCTCAAGATAGGCAAGCGCTTCCTCGAGCACTGGGCAGTTCTGGCTGTGGGAACGTGCTGCGCGCAACGGACGTGTCTGCAGTGCCATTTCGGTTTCCACAGCTCAGTCTTGTTTTGATCTCAGAGAGAGGGTGCAAAAGCAATGGAAAACAGAACAGAGTCAGACGGCAGCTGAAATTGCAGCTGTCCAACGTCAGGCATGTGTGCATTCTGCATTGAGAAGTAAAAAACAAACAGAACCTGCCCTCCATGAGCAGCGTCCTTCATGCAAATGGAACAAGTTTCCATCTGTTTGCTTAGTGTTGCTCAATTTATTTCACATCTGTGCATCTCCAGAAGGGGCCGTGAGCTGGGCAGGACACCAAAGCCCTGTTCATTACAGAACACACTTCAACCACCTCTGAGATTTTGGCAGATGTTGCTTCAGAGCGCTGAGATATTCTGACACCACCAGAAGGGCTAGAAGCTTGCTTAGAATAAATGTGTAAATAATCTTGCTGCTTTGGGAGCCCCAGCATTGCCCAGCCTGAATCTGGGGGATTCTCCCACCCTTGGCTGGAATGGGAGGAATCTTCTTTCTGAAGCCGCGGAGAAGCATCTGAAACAGGTAGATGTCCTGATGTTTCCCAACTCTCTGTGGCTCCGTGCTCACGGGGCCAACTCAGGCCCTGACTGAGAAGGCTCTGGAGGGGAGGCTGGGGCCTTGTGTCCTCATCCTGAATCTTCCTGCACAATTCACCACCACCACGTCCTCCCTGTGAGAAAGACTTGGCTAACCCAGGCCACTGCAAGATCGAGTCGAACCTTTACCGATGTGAGCCACTCTTTTGACCTACTGTGCACTGCAGCAAACGCGGTAAAATAACCCATACTGAAACAAAGAGCCGGGCCTCAGGGTAAAGGGAGAGATAATGGTTCTGAATCTACCTTGCCGGTTCCCAGTCCGTTTATGTCTAACACTCTTCCAAAACAGAACTGACAAACGACTCCCACGTTGTCGCTCAGCCGAGCAGCTCATAGAGCCGATTTGCTTCAGTTCGGCAGCAAGGCTGCCTTGTGTGCCTCCACAGCCTTCAGAGCTGCTCCTCCGCCCGGGAATAACCAGGGCACAGGCCAGCTGCTTCTGCAGGCACCAGGTTCCCCAGCACCAGCCATGGTCAAGTCCAAGTGGGTGGCATGGCGAAGGGTACTGCTGCAGTTGGCACTGCCAACCTCCCACTAGCCAAGGAGGGGTGTGGAGCCCTCCTAGCTATGCTTCACAGGCGTTCACCAAACTCCTCCCGGGTCACGATCCAGGCAGCAGCAGCAACCAGCACTGCTTCTCTTCATGCCCTTTCTGTCTAGGCTGCGATGTGGATAATTAGCAAAATGAAGCAGAAACTGAAGAGCTTACACAAAGTGGCACGGATGACTCAGAATTCGCCACTGGCCAGAGAGGTCACCCTTTCCAAAACCTTGTTGTCAGAAACAAAGTCCCACTTGTGAAAACCGAGCAGGCCGTGGCTGGTAATGTTCCAAGAGAAGTGGCGGGGGACCAAACGCAATTTCCAGGCCTCGGGCTCTAGTGCTGCTTCTTGTCCTTTCCATGACTAGCAGATTATAAACCAAGGTAAGCAGAGAGTGCAGTGCTGCTTGTTCCCTGATCTGAGCTATCTTGGGGCAGACATACTGCTTTCTAGTTTGCAGCTCAAGGGTCCAGCTGACTACCTGGAATTGTGCTGGAGAGCCGGCCAAGGGGACCCCTGAAATGGTCTGTTAAGACAGCCTCATGAGAAGCAGGGGTGAACCAGAGGTGGACGACCAGCTGTTTTGGACTCCACCTCCCGGAAGCCAGTGCCAGCTTCACCAACAGTCAGGAATGCTAGGCCCTGAAGTCCGAGCCATCTGGAGTTGTATGTTTTGCTCCCTACCCCCACATAGGGCAGAGGATGCCAGTGAAAGGAATTACCTCGAGGCCTCTGGCTTTGCCCCGAAATTCTGCACCCAAGCGCTTGCTCACCAGCTCCGGGCCAAGCTGTTCCAGATCAGCCGATGCTCCTTCAGCACCAGTCTCTCGATCACCCCCTGCAGTTCCCTGTGGTATGGGCTGGCTAGAGCCACATCCGCTGGCTGGACCACTCCTAAAGAAGGAAAGAGAAGGGGATGTTTGCAAGCACCTGACACTGAGCTTAGGGACGTCGAGCACTGAAACGGAAACAGAGCTGTACTGCAAATTTGTTCTGTTGGGTTTTACCAGATGAAATGACAAAAGCCAGCAGTTCTATATTATGAACATGTTTTTCTTTCTTCCAATTACCCTGTGAGGGTGCTTCCTGCTACAGCTGAGGCACTGAATACAGGGAAAAATGATATTTTTGGGGAAGGGATGTTTGTCATTATTTGATGTCTGCTGAGCATTTCTTTACAATAAGGCGATGAATCATAAAACTAAAATGCTCAGTTCATCTCTTTGAGCTTAACTAACATTTTATAAATTTTTAGTTTTGCACTGGATTTATGGGGGGATAAAGGGCAAAACAAAAAAAATATTTCTACAGTTTTCAACCCAAGTTCTGGTTTTGTTTTGAATGTCTAGCCTTTACCTTCCAAATAGTTAGGAACCCAAAAATGAGGCCAAGACCAAGAGATCAGGAGTTAACAAGCTCTCCGTAGGACTAGTCAAGTTATATACAGGCTTTGATTTGCCAACGGACACCAGCCATCCAATGTTCCTCTCATTTAGAAAAACTTGTCTGTCTGGTCACTTGAAGGCAATTCCTGCTCACCACAGGTAACCAAGCTAAGAGGTATTTACTAGCCAGCAGATATGTGCTGTCTCTTCTGGCAGGAGATGTTTGGTGCAGAACACAAAACTCCAAGCTCAGTGGGAAGAGGATGCTGTGGCAGTTTCCCTCTGCAAAGCCAGCCAAGCACATCTGGCCCGTCTCTCACCTTCGATGGCCACATAATGCAGACAGCCGCTGCCAGTGGCAGTCAGAATGCTGGGAAGACTGGAGCCGACCTGCAGCTTTGGTGCCTCCTGCATAAGAGAAGGAAAATAAGAGCAAGAGTTTATGTAGACAAGACCATTGAAGAGCCATTTAAAGTGTGGGCTTCATTGTGAAATCCTCGGCTCAAGTTTCCCCTTTCCCGCAAATGCTCCAGGCAGCCTCTAACAATTCAGTGCCTCACAAGAAGAGCTGCCTCACTGGACCAGATGAAAGGTCCCCCTGGCCTAGCATTCCAAACCCAAGAACAACTGGCCAGTTGGCTCTGGGAAGTTCCCCATCAATGCACAAAGGCAACCATTCCCTGCCTGTGCTCCACATCTGTTACTCTTGGCTAATGCTCATCAATAGACTTCTGTTCCTCTCGTTGAAGAAAAGGAACTTCATTCTGCATCTCGGGTCATCCAAGTACGTTGGTTTTATAAAGCAAGCGCGCCAGCAGTTGCAGGAGAGAAACAGAGCGGCAAAGTGCTCCCTGAAAGCAACAACGGTCTCTCCCCATAAAGGAAAGGCCCTTGTTATGAAGCATTCCTTGACTGCACAGAAAGAAATGGAAACCTATCCAGTTACTGTGGTACAAACTGCAACAATCCCCGATGAATCCAGTAAACGCTCTTCTCATCAGCGTGTTTTGATGTTGATTTACAACAGATGCATACGCCACTGTGCATTAAAAGAGAGCATCAGATATAACAGACTATATCTGGGATATCCCAGACCAGTGCGGTCTCTACATCCTGAGTCTTCTCAAGAATTGCCTTCTCAACATATACACGGGGTTTACTTTTCCACCTGGCATAGCTGAGCAGAAACTCCTCAAAGCCGGCAAAGCTTGGCCCTGAAGCACACAGGGTGGCTTTGGGCAGTCACTCACTCTCTGCATAACCCACCTCAGAAGGTTGTTGTTAAGATAAAATGGAGCTACATAAGCTAGCTTGGGTTCCTTACAAGAGGAAAAGTGTGGGATATAAAAGCAATATAATAATAGTTTTACACTCCGTGGATTTGTCTAACTCTTCTTAAGCCATTGAAGTTAGCAGCCATCCCCAGATCTCAGAGTATGTTTTAGGATTTCTGAGATGTCCTGTAAAATGCTTTAAAGACTTGGAACACATTGTATAAGAGCTAAGACAGTCTTCCGCAAGCTGGCAGACTCCCAATGTGTTTGACAGGAATTCCCATCATTGCCAGCCTGGCTGGGAACAATGGCCATTGCAGCCTGGCATATCTGGATGTCCCCAGCCTAGGGAAGGCCACAACAAACCCTCCTCTCAAGAGTGGGGGAGAGACAAGATGCATTACGGCGTACCTGGATCTTGGCTATCACTTTGGCCTTTCTCCTGTAGAGGTAGTAAAAGAGGCCAGAGAAGGCTAGGCTTGATCCCAGACAAACCAGCTCTCCTGGTGTGAGAGGCCACGCATCCATCAGAGCCTCGCCACAGCAGCTGCAAGAGAAACAAAGACAAAAGAGAAACAAGGAACAATGAGTTATGGAGGAACAATGAGACTCTTCACCACCCAGCATGATCCTTGGCACTGGGAACTTTGAAGTGACAGCAGGGGAGGGCACCACCAGAAAACATGAGTGGCTCTCATGAAGAAAGGGCAAGAGAGGCCCATGTTCAGGGCCAAGGGACTGCCTGATCAGGTCTGAGCCTGGAAGTAGCCAGAGCAAGCCCAGGCTGCCTTTTCCATGGAGCCTTGCTTCAGCTCCTAGCCACGCTCCACTGGGTGCTCCCTTCAGATTAAGGACATTAACAACGAGGGAATTGCAACACTAAACTCCTCTGGAACTGCAGATGGAACCACGATCTCAGAGAGTCAGCCTCCAGGACTACTAATCCAGGTCCCTGAGCAACTATTCTCTCTTTTTAGCTTCCCAACAGATTTGCTGTGGGAAAAGGGAAGATGAGAAAAGCAGCAGGAATACAGGGGAGGGTTATGAAGAGAATACTTGCAACATCAGAACCCCTGGTAAAATTCTGCAGGCGAGCTGGGAAGGATAACACAATAAAAGCCATGTCTGGAAATGCACCAAGAAAGCAGAATTATTGGCAGACTGCTGTAACACTTGTTCAACAAGCCCCCCTTGGCCTTTCCCTCCAAGATGGTGGACTGCATTTGGACAAGAGCCCAGCACTGGATACCGTCTAGTGGAGTGCAAGGACCATGAAGGCTCACCTATAAAATCAGAACCACCAAATTGCTGAGTGATTCCTGTCCCAGATCCAGGAGACTGACAAGTCCATGCTCAGACACCAGCTCCAGAAGCAGCCCAGTCAACCCAGAAGCAAGACAAGACTGCAGGAGGTGGGCAGGACAACTGGCTCACTTGCCTGCTTCTCTGGGTGAGGGGATCAGGGCCTTTCCACTCTCTTCACAAGGACCCTTTGTGAGAAATGTACGTGCTGACCAGACATCTGTCTGCTCCAATTGGTTTGCATTAAAGAAGCCAGAAAGGGAGGCAGAAGGGGCTGAGAGTTTAGCAGGCCCAGGCAGGGGTGAAAGGCACCTCATGAGGCTGTAGGAGAAGAAACCCCGAGGCTTCCCCCCCCTTCAAGTCCAGCCTCCAACAAAGCGGCAACACTCAGGTGAGCTCTTCCTCTGTTCCTTCAGCCCTTCAAGGCTACCCCAGCACTATGATCAAGGCTGTGGGGCCCGCCTTCGATTGCCATCCCCAAGAGAGGCTCGGTGGGTGGCAACAAGGAACAGGGCCTCTTCAGAGGTGGCTCCCCAGGCGTCGAACCAGCTCCACACTGAGGCCGGCCTGCAACCGCCCCCCACAGCAAATTTTCGGCGCCAGGTGAAGACAGTTCTCTACGCAGGGCGTTTAATCAGTCTACTGGACTTTGTAATCTGCTTAAACAGGCCTTTGTGTGCTTTGTTTCAGTTATTGCAATTCTGCTCTGAGTTTTAAATTTGGCTTAAAATTTTTGTAGGGTCACCTTTCTATGATGTCCTAACGTAGTTCCTATTTTACACTGTATTTTTAATATGCTATTGTAAACCGCCCAGAAAGGTTCGCCTACTGGACGGCATATAAATTAAATAATAAGTACGATATCATAGAAAGCCGGCTGCAGGCCTCACCCGCCTCCCGGCGCCAGAGTCAGCGTCGCATCTTCCCAGGCCCGGCGTCGTCACTCCTCGCGAGGCGGAACCAAAGAGCAGCAGCATCGGCGCCGGCCGAGATGTCCGCTGTCACTCGACCGCGGGATGGCGCACGGGAAACGTAGTCCTAGAAGCCCAAGGCCACGGCGCATCTCAGGAGCCGTCTTTCGGATTAAAGACTACCATTCCCGACAAGCTCTCCTCCGAAGTTTGGCGATGACTCTAACGAAGACCTGTTCTTCCCGATCCCATGATGCATCACGGGGGAGGGTCGACCAGAGCATGTAGGAACTACAAATCCCAAAAGGCATCGCGGCAAAGATAGTGTCTTGGAGTTGTGCAGTTAATGAATGCTGTAAGCCAAATATGGAGCTACAACTCTGTCGTTGTGTTCGGTGTTGCAGCTATTTTAATCTGGGAAGGGATTTAAATAGCACATCCTAGATGTAACCCCAGGCACGCTTATCCGAGTTTAAAAGTGCTTTAAAACGTCGGCATCCCCCCACTGCTTTCCATTCGTTCTACGAAGCATCCTTCACATCGAGAAACACTTGTTGTTTAATAGTGTTGTTTTGTTATTGTAAGTTATGCTTAAGCAGTTCTAATGAAAAAGGACGGTTATAGATATTTTTAAACGCACGCATACAATTTTGCTTGCCTGAAATCTATAGTGCTCCCTCTGGAACTTGTATTGCTAAAAAACTGGTTAAAAAGCAAAGGCGAATGGGCCATCAGAAAATGCCCACATCTGGGCAGTTAGGACACTTAATCTTTATTAGGCCAACTCAAAGAATACCAAATATTGTGCAAACATTTGAGTGTGCAGAACAAAAGGAGAACAGCTGGGCAAGGGCAGGAAAATAGCTGATGTTGAAGCAATGTAAACATAAGCGGACTGTGGGAAGAGGTCGCAAGCATACAAATTGGGCAATATCGGTTTGTGATGGTTTCAGGTTGCACAAAGAGTTGCCCGAGTGAAGAATGAAACAATGGTTGACACACACACCATATCTGAAAATATAAAAACCAGCTATTATTCAGAACTTTGGGGTATGACAGCAAGAAAAACAGAAAACAGGTTTCCATCCCCTAGAAAAACTGAGCTTTGAGAGCCCTCCCTCCAGGTTCTGGGGAATGCTACACCGTTGTCCCAGTAGACCATCCATCCCCCTGAGAGAGAAAGGTACTCTGACATCATTTCCCTTTTCCTCCTACCCTGTTGGTAAATCATTGGCTTTCCCATTACTGAGTTGTACGCTGACTTGACATAGGTTGCAACAGATGGTAACAAAAGTTAGGAAGGGCCCCCAAAATCATTTGGGCTGAGGGGGGTGTTCCAGGTCAGAAAAGGGGAAACTGTGTTGATCCACCATCAGACACATTGCCTTCACTTTATGATGGCAGCCCTAAGAAGGTGAGGCTGAGACATGGAAAGGCCCAACCCTCCTGCTGCTATAAAGCCATGCACTAGAAGCATGCCTTCTGTTTGAACTTGGCTGGTATCCAGCCCCGGCCCCACGCTAGCATTCCTGGTGACTTTTTAGCAAATAGGGCACAGTAGGAAAGCTAATCAATTACAGTAAATATTGTGGAAGCTGGAAGACGAGCAGGCATTAATAGTTTATTCCTGCCAGACTGGATCTGGGGAACTGTAAATTATGTATAGAAGATCTTTAGTAATGCAATTCTATTCCTGCTCACTGGACTCAATGAACACACGTAGAATCGCAGTGGAAGGCTTTCTAGTAAGAAATGCTTAGAAACCTCATTGACTTAAGGTTTCCAGGATTCTTTATGGAAGTTGTAAAGGTGGAATAAAACCAAGGACATGTCCTGGGACCTGGGAAAGTACCAACGCTCCTCAGCCCAAGGTTCTTTGTGGGAGAGAGAGATGTCCAGCTTGTATTCAAAATTCAGTTCAGTGGGCTTACAGCAAGTACAATCCTCATCTGTGAAGCACCAGCAGCGCGCCAGGAAGCCACTGACTGAAAGGCATACAAAAGTTGCAGTGGGGAGTAGAACTGACCTGAGGTCTATAATTAACATCTATGCTGGACTAAAGTTGAACCCTTAATGCAACTTCCTTACCTGCTTAAGGGCTACTTTTCATTTAGCTTTCCCTTGGTGAGTGCAGACATGCTGCTTGGTCTGTTGGTAGCTTGGGGGTGCTGCTGGACCCCAAATTATCTTTTATCTCCCAGGTGGACATACCTTCCATCTGCTTAGGCTGGTTTTCCAGCTACGTTCCTAACACGGATGAGTGGAGCATTGCCAAAGGTATCCATGCACTAGCAACCTCTTGTCTGGATTACTGTCACGCGCTCTTTGTGTGGCGTCCTCCAGACAATTCAACTAATTCAGAACAGGGCAGCACGACTATTGATGAGAACTGTCCGTCGAGCACACGTCAAGACAGTCCTTTGTTGGTTGTCGGTTTGTTACAGTCTGGGCCCAATGCAAAGTGTTGACGTTAACATGCAAGGCCTCAATGGCTTGGGGGAGGGAAGGCCCGTCTCCTGATCACAAAGATCTTCAATGGAAGTTCTTCTCTGAGAACCATGAAGTGAGGGCGAAATCGCTCGAAGGACATTCTCAAGGGGTCGCACGCCACTAGAGCAGGTGCTCTCTTTCTAGCACCAGGTAAAGACTTTTTAACTCAACAGGTGTTTCAGTAGCTGGACTGGTTGTTCACTTTGTTGCGACTTTTTGCCCGAGTGCCAGAACTTGCATTGTTTTAACAGATTTTAGGCTTAATTTTCTTGATGCTGTTTTTTTGTAAGCCTCCCAGAAATAAATAAGCAAAGACCACTTAGAAATAATTAAGCAGAAACGGCTTTTAATCCATTAAGTACACCAATAGCACCCCCTACCCCCAAACACACATACTTCCACACGCTAATCCAAGGCACTAGTCCCCACCAAGTTCAATTGATGGGAGCAAGTCCAGAATTCTAAGCCAAGCTAGTTTGGAACTGAGAACGGGCCTAAAAAAGGGTGCAAGGAAACCTTCTGGAAACAAGCCGGTCTCCCCACTCCTCCTCTCCCTGTGACAGAGGCTTTCCATGCGCAGCTGTGGTGCAGTTAATGCGCTTTCAGACAGGGTGCTATGTGCCCGGCTAGCAATCGGCGGATTTCTGTTTGTGACAGGGAAATAAGCAGTGGGAAGCTTGGGAGGCACAATGCTAGCGAGAAGGAGGTTCATGTTCCACAGTGACAGGACGGGATTGTGCGTTGGCACATGCGCGACATCTCCCAAGGGGCTGGCCCTGTGTCCCCACCCAGCAGGAAGGGGGATTGTCCGATACAGAGCCCGGTTCCGTCTTTGGATTCTTGTCCTTGCATGAAAAGAGAGGGCCACGTCCCTGCATGCTATTGCAGTTGGGAGCTCAGTGGTGTGCGGAGCCATCCAGATCTGAGCTATGCTTCAGCCCCTGAGCTGCGTGGGAGCCTGGAATGGCCGCTAGCAGGGGGCTCTATCAAAAAAAGTTCATGGAGCATCAGGCTGCCAATGACTCTCTGCTAAATTAACCTCCATGTGCAGCAGCAGATGGTGAAAATGAAGGGGCTTGCTCTTCTTGGAAGCTTTTTTCCAAGAGACGAAAACAGAAAGCCTGGCTCAATCAGCCTCGCTCTGATGCATCTGTCCTGGGATGTCCCAGGTTTCCAATGCTCACCCTTCGCCCCTGCAGCTTCCACAGCTCCAGCCCCACCTAATGGCTAAGGTCTCCCCACTGAGCTGCCATGGCTGGCTTCCAAATCCCCCCAAAGTCGATTCCACCGCCGATGGGATTCACCTTTCTACAGCCCCCTCACCCGTCCCTGAAAATTGGAGATACCGAAGCTAAGCACCGGCTGCTTCGGAGCTGCGGCGGATGGGGAAAAGCGGGATGAACTGGGTGAGAATTCAAAGGTACCAGGCCCGCCAGCGTGGACCAGGAAGGCGTTTCCTGGGTCAGCTGACAATGGGGCACCAAAGCGGAGCTGGAAGGCTGTGCAGTGCAGAAGGAGGAAGCGAGTGACAAGGAGAGCTGAGGGGTCGGGCGGTGCTTTTGCCGCTGCTGCCCCAAGTGAAGTGGACTCGGCAGGGCGCACTGGTGGGGCTCACCCTTCTCTGGTGCCAGAGGAAGGCACTTGCCTGCCCAAGGCTGACGAGGCAAGACCACCCCCTGCTCCCCAGTGCGCAGTGCCAGGGCGCAGCCTGGTTCCTGGGATGGTGCCGTGCAGGGGGCTGTTGGAGGTATGTACAGACTCGCCAGGGGCAGCCTCTCCCTTCTTTCCCTCTTGCTCTACCACACTTCGCAGTGCTTCCCAGGGTTCATGCGGGAGCCGACAGGGCACCGAAAGTGCTCCAGAAAGTCCCGGGAGTTGCTGAGGGTGCCGATGACCCGGAACTTGTCAGGGCTGTGCGGGTCCGTCACCAGGCCCTCGTGGGAGCTTTCTGGGGTACGCACGGAGCACCACACCTGTGCCGGGGAGAGGAAGCGAGAAAAGTATTTGCTCTGCAGATCAACGAAAGCAGGTCGAATCGTATGTCCCCAGGGTTGAAGGCATGGAACTGGGAACGTGTGGCCCTCCAGGTTTTGTGGGATTGTGTGTCCTTTCATCCCTCACTGCTTGCTTTGTTGGCTAGGGCTTCGTGGATCTCGGCCTCGTCCACCAAGACTCTGGCAGCAGGGAAGAGTCCCCTTCCCATCGGGGCGGCGGGGAGGGGGGGCGGTTCTGTGTGCTCCAGGGATCTGCCATCAGCCAGGCAAGGGCAGGATTAGGTATCTGTTCCAGGATTCATCACCCTGAGAAATTACGTTTTCTCTCTCCTTTCTCAAAATATATATTTTAAAATATTCTTTCAAAAATATTTATTTCTTTTCTACTGAGAAACGCCTGGGCAACAGCACACAGGTGGTTCCATGTGAATCTCAGAGGCTGGGCTGGCCAGGGGAGGGTGAGTGGGGAGGGGGGGCAGTGGGAACTGTTAGGACCCCGCCTCCTTCTGTGCCTGTTTCGGCACCTAGCAGAAGAGGGATGAAGGGCACACATGCCAAATTCTCCATGAATGCTTGTGTTACACTGTCTGGAACACTGACTCTCCCCCTTAAGTCTGTTGTGGAAGACAACATCTGAAGCCAGAAGTGCATGGTGGCAGCTGCCGCTGGATGCTCTTTGTCTTCTGGAGGGAGGAGAGAATCGTGGCACCAGGAGGCAAGGTGGGTGGAACCTCTGTCCGGATCTTTGCTCCATCTAACTATGGGGGCCAGCAGTTCCCAGATTCCAGTTCCCCAAAGCCACAGCTGGCATCTGAGTCTGTAGACCCAGCAAATACAACGTCGGGGAATGTTGCCTTGAAAAGCTGGCCAACATTGCCCGTAATGGAAGAGCTCCATGCAGCAACTCTTCTTCTAGCTCTCTGGATGTCCTTCTGTGCTTTTACTTGCTTACTTATTTATATTTATTATCTGTATCCCACATTTCTTCCACTGTGGAACCCAAGGTGGCTACTTGTGGTTCCCAGGTGGTCTCCCCTCCATGCTCTGGCCAGCCCCAGACCTGCTTAGCTTCAATGCTAAGATGCCTGATGTGCCTTCAGGCCATACGAGGCCCCAGGGACTGAGCTTGGAGCTGTGCCTCTCTTTCATTGAGCTCTGGGACAGCTTGCCCTGCCCATGAGGTTCAGATTGGCAGAGCTATTCATGCGGGTGGATGCCTCTAAGGATGTGGACAAGTGACAGCACATAAAGGGTTGTAAAGTGGGGCGCCGGACACGGGATGCCCCCATGTCTCCCTTTTTCATCCCAAGCGAGTTTTTACCTGCGCAAACCCTAAGAAGAAGAGCTGGTGGTTCGTGAGGTCGAGAGAGGGCAGGCTCTTCTCTTCCCCATTCTTCTTCAGCCAGACTTTATAAGCCTGCAAGGAACCAGCAACACAGCCTGCACTTCCAAGCTCGGCTCAGCTAATCCCAACCCCAAGCTCAGCAGGGCCCAGCCTTCTCCTTCAGGGCGCCTGGAAGCCCAGAGGCAAAGGCTGCTCCAGTTCCACCCATTTCTTCCCGGCCTGATTCATTTTCTTGCAGCGGGGGGGGGGGGGTGCGCGCACGCGCACACCATTCATTCCCAGCCTGGCTTACTCACATTATAGGCAGCCTTCAGTCCCCCGTTGTCAGCAATGTTCTCGCCCAGGGTCTGCTTGCCGTTGATGTGCTCTCCATGGACCACGTACTTGCTGTACTGCTCCGTCATGCACTCGGTTCGGTTCTTGAAAGCCTCCAGCGATGCGTTCTGCCACCACGGCCGCAGGTTCCCCTCTTTGTCATACTCTCTGCCTGAAAGGAATGGAACTCTCTTGTTGGGCCGACTTAAGGTTAGCCTGTGCAGCGCTCGGTCCTCAGCTGCAGCCAGCGAGCGGCCCTACGAAGAAGCTCGCACGGGGGACTTGATGGAGTCAGCCACCCCCCTTGCTCGTTCTCAGCCAGATGTTCGCAGGCTGCAAACAGTAAGGGATCCTAGCAGCACAGCAAGTCGCCTTCTCTTGAGTCCATCTCACCCAGCAGTACAGACGCTGCCTAGTGGTAGCTCCCCGATGCCTCAGATAACGGGCTTTGCCTACCTAGATGTATTAGATGCTTTAATGTTAGACCACTGAATTATGGGACAGCTACCACTGTTAGTCTGAACAAACTGCTTTATTCTGTCAACGATTGCTGTATATTTTCTGCATACATGAATGTATTGGAATCCTGTGAAGATGTAACCCACTTTCTGCTGAATTCTGTAACACGTACTGCGTATGTTATACAAACTGGACACATTTGCATGCATTTGCTTATTTTGCACAAGTTGTCAGGTATGCAAAGCAATCAAATCCTGCCCTCTCACCAGTGAGACACCCATGTCTTGCCTGCTACTTTCAGATTTTTGGCAGGCGCTACCCATACAATTGCAGGGGTATTTTCTCAACCATATGGACTAGAAACCTGTTTTATTCTAAAATGAAAGCTGAGCTATTCAGGAGCCAAACTGCATGCCCAAGACTGCATTCCATGCTTTTTCTCTACTGAAACAGATACCTATTGTGGAATATATTCACTGTTATAACTCTGGGCCTCAGCCCTTCGGTAGCTGTCCTCAATTAAACCTCTGAACAGGCAAATTCTTATTCTTTCCCCCATTTACAAGAGTACCTAACCACTTCTGCACCAGGCACCCTGGGGTCCCCCCCTCCAGCAAGCCACAACTACCCCACAGGGTCCTGCATCGGAGGTACTGATTGGGCAATGCTAAAAGAGGTGGCTGCAGTCCAGCTGCTGCCCGGCTCCAAAGAAAGGATGGTTGGGGCTTGACCCCAGTGTCGCCTCGAGCAGCAGAGCAATTAAGAGAAGGCTGGGGGCGAGGCAGAGGCCCCTGCGCCAGCCGTGGCCCACTCATGCAGAGATAATGGGTTCTCACCAAGCAGATGGAGCAGGAGGAAAAGCAGCGCAAAGCCTGGTGAGATGACTGAAGGTGTCACCTGGGGAGACAGGAGGGCAAACAGATAGGGAAGCGGCGCCCAGCAGGGAGGAGAGGGTATCCCAATGGCGGTGGCGGTATGGAAGCTCCTATGGACAAGGCAACGCGTGCGTGGGGATGCAGTGGGGAGCATGAACAGCCTCGAGGAGGATGGTGCCCGGAGTCCTCCCAACCCTCCAAGAAGCCTCGAAGGTCCCTGGGGAGGCACAGAGCGTGCTGTGCCATGCCGGAAGCGGCAGCAAACCAAGCCTTGGCCCTTGTGCTGCTTTCTGCAGGAATGGGGAGAGCGGAGTCCCAGAAGCCTCTGCAAGCTCAAGATGCCCTCCGATGGCTATGGTGGCAACCATGTGCCTTAACAACACTGGAGCAGGGAGAAGGTGCTAGGAAGCCCCATGGAATGAGCCAGAACAACTGAAACAGAGCCAAGGGGCACCAGAGGGTTTCCCTCCTAGTTTTGTCCTGATTTGTTAGGAATCCACAAGCCCAAGAAGGATGGTGCCAGGAACGGGCCTGTTCATCTTAGAAGGTCTCAACGCACATGTGAGATGCGAGAAGCCACAAGCATCCGTCTGCTGAGCCAGGCAACTTGCTCCTACCTTGGTCATCGAATGCGTGGGTGAGCTCGTGTCCCATCACGACCCCGATGCCTCCGAAGTTGAGGGCCCTTAAGGGAAGAAACCAGGAAAAGTAAGAGGTTGTGACGCCGACCGGCTAGCCTTGGGGCAAGGGTGAAAGGCAGGGCAGCAACAGTTTTAAAGACAATGAAGGCACATTCTGAAATGATACCCCTCAATGTGCTGGATTCCTTCCACGAGACACTTCATAGCAAATGGAGGGGGGCTTTTTTGGTGTAGACCACGAGAGGCAGGGGTGCCACTGCATTACTTTGCATTAAAGGGATGCAAAATAATGGAAGGAAATCAATGCCACGGGCTCCTCCTCCCCATCAGGAAGCAAGTACTGACTGACTTAAGGTCAACTAAGGTCTTGCAACCCCTCTGAACAAGAACTAATTATTGGGGCAGAAGCCAAAGGAGGAAGCTTTTGGCTGAAGATACTGGGCCAACTGGAACTGCAATTGCACTGAAAGTGTGTGCATGACACACGCGCAGAGAAACAGCCATAAACGTAATCTGAAAAATGTGGGGAAAGAACCGAAAAGAATATGCCATGTTAAATCATTCCGATGGCACCTGGGTTCTCTGTCACGAGTGAGGAACAGACGGATGGCAATTATACTGCATCGCTAGTGTAAAAGTTATCTGACAGAAGGTTTAGGTCTACAACCTGCTGGCCTCCTTCGGCAACTGTGATGCAATATAACCAAAATTTAAGCCTTTAGGGCCATGGTTTGCAAGGTGGGCATGCCACGACATCATACAGAAGCGATTCCCCGAACAACTCGCGCTTCCCTTCGACTTCTGCCGCTTTAAGAGTGGAACGCCCGACCTCAGCATGCCTGGCACGGCACCAAAGCCCCCCGAGCCAAGCCTCTCCTTCCTACCCAACAGCCAAAGCCCCCTGACGCACTTGGGATGGTCGCGCGCGTAGAAGGGAGCCTGAAGTATCCCTGCAGGAAAGACGATGCCGTTCTTGGTAGGCAGGTAGTAGGCGTTGACTGTCTGCGGAGTCATGCTCCACCTGGAGAGGGATTAAAAAGGCTCGGAGGAGGCATTCTTTCGGCAGGGCTGTGGCTGGCAAAAGCATCGCTTGGCTGTCTGCTCTGGAAGACCCCCGTAAGCAAGGCTGGGGGCTCACTAAGACCAGAGACGGTGCAGAAACGCAGACAAAGCAACTCTCCTTTTGGGCTGTGCTGCTTTAGACTCCTTGTTTCAAGCTTCCCTGTGGGTGGGGGGAAGCCCTTCCCTCATCGGAAAAACAAACCTCTCAGGAAGGCTTGAAACCTCGCATTCTCCCTGTTGTGCAAGCTCTTCACATGCAAGGAAGGTTCATTTTCTTTCTTTGTCATTTGAACAGTGGAAAGCACTCCATCTTATAATCAAGCCCCTGCACTCTGACCTGACCAAACTCAGAAAGGGGTGGGCCCATCTTTATTTTTGTACCTTAGAACTTCCTGGAAGTCCTAGTACCCCATTACAATCAGCAGCTGTTCAAGTGCATTCAACTAAAGCAAGGGTAAAACTAGGTCACATTTTTAATTTGCATTCACCCAGAACCAATTTTTGGCTAGGTTTGCACATCATGGCAAGCAATTCTACATGGTTTGCAATTTTTACCATGATCTACAAGATCTTTTTACCATTCTCTACCTCTCTGCTCAGTCCTCCCACTGTTGGCAAATATCCCATCAGCCACTGTGCCTGAAATTCAGTCCCAAGATGCTTTACTCTCTGCCTATGTTTTCTGCCTCTTTCTCACTGGTCAGTTGCACACCTGGACAATGGAAACCATGATCCTGGGTTCAGACAAGACAACAAGCCATGATGGTCTGGAGAAACCATTAAAAAAAACCCCATTGAGCAGCTTTGCACAACACTAGAACCCATGGTGAAATCTTACCGTTGTGGATTTGTTATGTTGTTCAGACCCAGTTCCAGAGTTTCTGCACAGTAAGATTAGTTTTCTGAAGCCATGGGGAGAATCAATGGAATATTCTAATTTTTCCATGCTTAAATATGGCTCCTCTAGTCATCCAGATTCAGAATTACCATGGCTGGAATGGAAACACCATAGAGTCCCCTAGCAAGAAGGGAAGTGGCTGTTTCTAGCCTTCAATCTCTATTGCCTTCAGCCTGCTAAAAGATGCATCATTGCTCACTTTATTCCTATTGGCTAAATGATGTGTCCTTCTCCCTGTATACTCTTGGAAATGGAGACAGCATGAAAACACATGAAGAGAGAAGGGGGGAACTGTGGGAACCTGTTTATTTTCATTTAAATGCATTCTCTGTGAGGGCTGGAGTGGCTGGGAAATGCCACAGACTTGCATGTATACTTGAGGAGGGAGGGGGGACCCACCTCTGGGTTGCAGCAGACCAATCAAGAAGAGGCCGCTGCAATCCTGGGCGAGTCTAGGGAAAAGATCATAGAGTCAAGATGGGATTTTGCTCGCAGGGCCTGCCACGATTTGTGTGGCTGGGAGGATGGAGCAGGGAGCATGGGAAACACACAGCCTGGGTAGCCGTGCGATTCTTGCCTGATCAGTCAGTTCAGGCAAAAATCCTTGCACTGGGGAAGCAGCGTGGGCTTGTTGTGTGAACCTGGCCACAGTTTCTTACCGTGGTTTCTAAAGACCGTGGTGAAATGCCAGGACTGGGTTTGTACAGCACGACAGGCCAACAATGACAAAAGAATCACCGCGGTTTGTTGTGCTGTCTGAACCCAGCCTTTGTTTTATGGGGCCCACAAGCTTGTTTCCCTCCCCCCTTTTCTGAACCTCTGGAAAAGAACCGGAGGGGAGGGGTGCTGAGTGAGCCCCTCCCCAGGATGAGTTTTGCCAGACCCAGTGTCAGCATTAATATGCCGGAGGACGTTTAAAATGGCGACTCGCAGCTGCCTGCTGCCCCCTCCAGAGCAGCCTGTGGCCGAGGCCCCCCAGTGAAGGGAGGCCCCCCGAAGGCAAGGGCCTTCTCACACCTGCAGTCAGTCCTCCTCTTTGCTCCGTCCCTGCCCCCTCCCCACTTCAGCACAGGAGAAGGCGGCAAACGAGCGGGAGGCATCCTTACTGGTCCCGGTTGGGGGGCTTTCTCAGCTGCTCTGCCATAAACCTGGCAGAGAAATTGTAGAAGTTCAGCATGTTCTGGAAGAAGGAATCTTCTGAAACATCATACTAGAGAGAAGAGCAGGAACACAAGACCGGTGAGTGCAGAAGGTCCCAACCCCACGCTGACCCTGCACGATTCCTCTGCCTTACATGGCCAGTCGTAGCAGATTCAAAAACCTGCTAAAACCATGCCTCGTCTGGCCCCCCTCGTCATGCCAAGCCCAGCAGAGAAACGGGCTGGGGAATGGGTCTCCCTTCCCTCTCCTTGACCCCGTTGCCAGTCCCTGCCCCAGGCTGGTGTCCCTTCCCGCCCCTGCCCTGGGGCTCATACCCCGTCATAGACGTCGTCCAGCTCCTTGTTGTCGAGAATGAACTCTGGGAAGCCAATCATGTCGTAAATGGCATCAGCCTGTGGGGAGAGGGGAGGCAGGCCTGTGAGGCCAGAGGGAGCACGAAGCACACCAGGTCTCGTGTGGCTGGTTGTTAAAATTTGCAGGCACCACACTCTGATGGCTTCTGAATGTGGAACCTCCATTTTCAGAGGAACTGTACCTCTAAATAGCATGGGTGCAGGGGAAACAGCCAGAGAAGGTGGCTTCCTTCGGATTTGCTCGGAAACTTCCTGGGGGCGCCTGGAAATACTGGGCTAGGCAGTCTTATCCTACAGGTCTTTTAGCTAAATGTGGTTCATGTCTAAAGCTTCTGATTGCCCTTCCGTGGGTCATGCAGCCAGAGTTCCTTCGTGCCTCCACATTCCAAATCCTATGCTACAAAAGGAATCAGATGCATGTTGCATCATCATGAGGACCCTTTTGAAGCAGGGTGTGCTCCCCACTTCCCTGGAAGTACAAAAGTAGGATCTTCAGTGGGAAGAAACCATTTCATGCATGAGCTCTGTAGGACATCTTCTGAGATTTAAAAAGACTCAAGATCCATTACCTGCTGCTGGTTGGGAACCCATTCTGCTTGATGGTGAAGTACTCCTAGCTCTGAATTATGCAAAATGCATGCAATTGTATATGTAAATTTATTTTGCATGTGTCTGTCTCAAATTTCTATTTGGCAAACACCATGGTAAAACAGGGAGCTATAAGAGAAAATCTAGTGTACAAGATTAGAGGGTCAGTTTGTTTTTACATATTCCATATGTTTTAATCATGTAATTCTGTTATCATAAGGACTAGAAACATGTAAAAAGCCATGATTTTCAGGAGCTCAAACTATGAAGCAAACTAGATCACAGCACCTTCTCTTTAGCCGCTTGTCTAGTTTTCTCATCCATCCAGTCAAGCTGGCCCAGAGATTCCTCAAAGGCTGTGCGGATTTCAGCTATCATGTTCTCAGCCTGAAGGCAGCAGCGTAGGAAACAAAGGCAAGAACATCAGTGCTTCCCCACTCCTGCCTCATCCCATTCCCAGGATGCTCTAATTCCTCCATTTAAAAAAACAACCCTCCGTGTTCTGCACCTCAAGAATTTGCTTATTTTGCCCAGATGCTGCAACCAGTGAATCATGATTATGGGCTATGCCAAAGTTCCACTTGACTGTTTAAATCCCTCCTCAGTCCACCCCTGGCTGTAGGACCATGTGGTTCCATGATGCTGTATACATCCCCTCAGCCCCAGCTATGGCTTTATTTTTTAGATTTATATCCCACTTTTTTCTTTTTTAAAGAACTCAGAGTGGCTTACAGCTTTCTCCTCCTCCTGCTTTTCATCTTACCCCCACAACATCCCAGTGAGGTAGGTTGGGCTGAGAGTCTGTGACTGGCCCAAAGTCAATGGGGTCTTCATGGCTAAGCAGGAACTTGAACTCAGATCTCCTGAGTCCCAGTCCTGCACGCTTAACCTCCACGCCACACTGGCTCTCTATTATGTAAAGCAGGTCTAGCGAGCGCTACACGAAGTGAAGGACCGACACGGGGCAGGGCAGGGCAGGGCTGTTTATCCCTCCCTGTCCCAGCCATCAACACTGGATTGTGACACCGGATCCCAAGCAGGCGTGAGCTCAAGAAATGGGGACAGGCAGCGGGCAGGAGAGGATACTCACAATCTGCTTACTGTGCCTGTCAAATGTGGACTTTACAAACAGCGCCCCAAGGGCAAAGCCCAAAGTGTCGTCTGTGTTGGAGATGCAGGTTTGCCAGCGAGGGGTACAGGACTCCAGGGAAAGAGAGAGAGAGAGAGAGAGAGTGAGGAGAAGGAGAAGCTTCTCAATGGGCGTGTGGGGTGGAGAGGACCTGCTTTGCAAAGACACGGAATGGCTGGTGCTCTGAGCCCAAGCAACAGCCCAGAAACAGCCTGATGGTCCAGGTGACCAAGCCATGTGCCTGCCAAACAAGCACCGCTTGAGCCGCAGCCGGAGGAGGGACCCTCTAGTCCCCCCACCTTTATTTCCCACCCACTCACCTTCTTGGTACCATACAGGGTCTCCATCAGCTTCTCCTGGGCCGTCTCAAACCTCTGGTCGAGGCTCGAGGCAGTTTTCTGAACCAAGTTCCAAATCATGTAATTGTTCAAGATGCTACAAGAGAAGAATCGGTGCACGCTGAAATCGCTATTCCACCGCCCACAGAGTGCATCCCAAGTCTCCCCTCCCCTCCCCTCCCCGAAGCCAGCTATGGATGCTCAAGCGAAGCTCCGGGCCAAGGACCTCCATGCCAGCATCCCACAAACCCAACAGGGACCTCAACAGCCCAGCTCAAAGAACGGCTGCATCTTCCCAGACCCCGTTTCTTCAATGACTGTGAGTGCTGGATGCAACCAATGGGTGGCAAGCAGTGGGGGAAGACCTCTCATGTTGCCTGCTTGCATGAAGCGGGCAGGTGCGAGAGAAAGGAAATGCAAAGTAAGTTTGCTCCTGTCACACCCAGCACCTGTGTGAGGGAGATGCTGAAGCACCAGACTTGGCTTACAGATCTCTCCATAAGATCTTGGCTTACGGATCTGGCAAACCATCAACCCACTGGACTCTCATCCTGAATTCATCTTCCCTCCCATGAGGAGTGATGGAGCCTTTGCAGGGAGCTGGTGCTGGAAGTGGCAGCAAGATGCCGGCAAGACCCCTGTGCCAAGCTGCAGAGCCGGCTGTATGCTCCTGAGGGCACCTGCTACCTCAGCATTATATCCCATCATCAGTGTGGAAGACAGATTCATCCACCTGTCCGGTCCAGAAGGCAGGGGGTAGGTGGGTGGCATTTTGTTCTCCGTCTCAGCCATCAACATCTCTTGGGCTGGCCGTGCATGTCCCCCCACCCCACCCCACCCCAAAAAAGCCAGGTAACCCGTGAGATCACCTGGAACAGTGTGGAATGGGAGAGTGTGGATGGTTTGCCAGACGGCAAGGTCAGATCACTTTCACACCTCCCTGCCTGGATGGCGCATGCACCTGGGATGTGCAGCCCTGGCAAAAGCCCCGTTAGTTGGAAACTGTGCCTAGAATATACTTTTTTTTGCTTTTGTGCACCTATTAGAAACTGCTCGGTTTCAATTCTGCCAGACTATAAGCTTTATCACATTTGAACAGGGGCTGAGGAATTTAGATCCTGCTACATCTGGTCAAAGCAGCACAGGAGGTGGCTTCAAAAATGGTTTGTTTACAAAAACTCATACGTGAACGCAACTGCATTGCTTGCAAATCCTGAGGAGACCCAAGTAGAGGTTCTTCCTGTCCTCGTAGACTATGGCTGAGTTCACACATCAAGGTAAACAGCCCTGCACTGTTTCCAAGGCACATGGATTTTGACCTGAATTTATCCATCCAATGATCACACGGTTCCTACAGCAGCAGTTTCCGTGCTCCGTCCTCCAGCACTAACCACACGCTCTGGCAGTCCTGATGAGCAAAGCCTCCTTTACATTGTGGCTCCCTATGGACTTCAGCAGCCTTGTTAAGGTTGGTCCACTGGGGTTCTGAGGCGAGCTTTCCCTCTTCCTACTCCCAGGTGGACCTGAATCTCTGCAAGGCTTCCCAGCTCCTCCAGTCCCCATGGGAATTTTTACTAAATCATAGTAAGTGCTTTTTACCAGGATTCCCCCTCCTTCCTCTGTGCATTTACTCACATTCTCCCTGTTTCCAAAAGTAAACAGGGAGGCAGGCACACTGCTCAGTCAACAGGAATAAAGCAGGGGATGGATAGTTGCTGTTGCTAGGCAGCTGAGGATAATGGACAGCTGAGTGGCCACTTCCACAGGACTCTATGGCGTTTCCATGCCAACGATGGTAAAACAGAGACCCTGGATCTGCACAGCCAGAGAAGCTGTGAACTAACTGGCCGTGCTTCATTGATTTTATTCTTTCATCTGTTTCCATCTTTTGTTATTCACCATTCTGAAATCACCGTATCAGAATATGGAGCAGAATAGAAATCTTGCAAATAAAATAACATTAAAAACGGCACAGCCAAGAACACTGCTGCTGTCAGGTTTCCAGATTCCAGCAGGGAATTCTGAATTGCACACAGTCCTGGCCAGAGCTGGGCAAAGGCCTGCTGCGGTTCGTGTCTGGTACCTTTTGTCAGTGCTATTGAGGAGCTGGGACACTTGCTCCAGATATTCCCTGCCATAAACCACCACAGGCTCAGCATCCGTCAGCTCCAGAGGGGAGAGGAAGTAGGAGATGAAGTCCAACCAGTCAATAGCTGGGGCAAGAACCTGGAGAAGACAAGGAAAGACGCAGGGCTTTGGCTCCCTATCGGCTGATACATAATGCAGAGGAAGACCTGGATAATTGCTGGGTGTTATACCTTTAACAATGATGGATTTCCATTTTCCCTTGCACTCCAAGGTGCAGCCTGCAAGGGGCATGGTGATAGCACTGGGCAGAAGGGCTCTTCCAGGTATGTTGGTGCCTTAGGAGAGGAAGCATTTTGGCACAAACACACCCTGCTGCTTTTATTTTCCTGGGGTATCACTACCATCTATTTTAAATTTCTTTCTTGAGCATCTCAGTCTGCAACAGTGTCACTGTACCACAAGGCAATTTCAACATTTGCTTGGAGCATGGCATATGCAGGTGGATTTGGACAAGTCCAGTCCTGAGCCCCACTTCGGATTCCCAGCCTGCCACACAAGACCCACTTTCTCATTTTTGTGTTTCGTTTACATGCGGTCATGCAAACACTTTTTTGGAACCACATTCTCTGCTTTTCATGAGCAAATTCCATTGCACAGACAATCAAGTAATTCTGAAGACCGTGAGTGCAAAGCAGAGGTGCCAGGAACCCACACGGTCACACAAAATCATTGATATTATCTGCAAAGCAACGGCATGGAAATGAAACCTTCGAAACCCAGGAGGCACCAGAGATGGTGGCGTTATCCTTACAGCCACACAGAAAAGTACCCAAATTCCATCTCTTTCACTGGACACCCCTGTCCATAACGTGGAAGTAATAGTGAGAAGCAGCACACTAAAACATTTGTACTCACAAGAAGGACTGGGTTAAAAAGGTAAAGGTAAAGGTTTCCCCTTGACATTATGTCCAGTCATGCCTGACTCTATGGGGCGGTGCTCATCTCCGTTTCCTAGCCGAGGGAGCCAGCATTTGTCCGCAGACAGTCTCCGTGGTCATGTGGCCGGCATGACTAAACACCGAGGTGCACGGAACGCTGTTACCTGCCCACCAAAGTGGTACCTTTTTATCTACTCGCATCTGCATGCTTTCGAACTGCAAGGTTGGCGGGAGCTGGGACAGAGCAACGGGAACTCACCCCGTTGTGCAGATTCGAACCGGCGACCTTTCGATCAACCAGCCCAGCAGCACAGCGGTTTAAACCACTGCGCCACCTGCAGTCCCAGGACTGGGTTTCTCAGGAGTAATTACCCAAGCAACAAATGCAGATGTATGCATATAAAATAAAACAGAACTGCAACGTGGAGCTTTCCTGGCTGCTACTTTACCTGGACTGCAGGTTACGGGGGGGGGGGGGGTGGAGGGTATGCCCAAGATCATCTCCCCTCCCCAGCTGCTTCGCTGCCCTGCTATTCCCACCCCGTCAGTCAGTCAGTTGCTCATTCCCCCATCCCACCCTTACGATTGCACGGCAGTAGGAAAGCGATAGCTGTGCTCCTCTCTCTCTTGTTCAACATTGTACAGAGGTCATTGGAGAAAACCACACACAGTTTTTTGGGAAGGCAGAAGCTGAGTGGAGAAGTTAGGAAAAGGAAGCTCAGCTTCCCCACTGCCAAGTCTTCCTTGCAGTGGGAGTTGCGGGGTGTGGGAGGGGCTCTCAGATCAGCCCCAGGCGGGCGGCAACACTGCCCAAGCCAAGTTTGTGCAGACGGCAGCTGTGAATCATTTAAAGCACATAAAAGTGGCTGTGAACTGAACCAGTCCAACACTGACTTAGGGACCCGCCTCCAATGAGGACTCCAGAGCAGCCAGAAGGCAGGGCTGGGGCCGTGCAAGTGCCCCCTGCCCCTCACTGGCTGTGCACCCTGCAAGGTGAGCAAGCCGATCGGTCCACTCTGGAGAAGACTGCCACTTAAAATGGCACGAGGCTGCAGCCGGGGTGGCCAACTTCCCTTTACTGCATGGCCCGCTTGCCTGGGGCTCATTGGGTGCCCTGGGTGTCCTGGCAGCCTAGTTAGCGCACTGGGAACAGCCCCGCCTGGCGGAGCCTCGTCCCACCGGGCCCGCCAGCTCCTCCTCTCTCCATCTAAGGACACAACTCAAGGCGGGCCTCTTGCTCCAGTGCCCGCCTTATCCACCACGCCCCCCGCGCTGGTTTGGTTTGCCATCCGGCTGAGTGAAGCATCTTGGAGAACATAAATACTTGCTCACTTATGTTTTCGTAGCATTTTGCTTCATCATAAACCAGGCGTTACCTGACTGGTGAAAGGAAGGAACCCGGTTAACTCTATTGTTCCTATACAGGCTTTGCCAACGAGGCTCAGGACCGAAGACAAGGTTCGGCATCTGTGTCCACGCCTTCCTGAGCAGGATCCGGGGGGCGTGAGCATCGGCTTTCTCCCGTTCCCTGCCCAGCTCCACAGGCAGGAGCCGAACCCTGCGGCAGGGGTAGCCAAGCACTTGCTCCCAGCGCCTGTTTCCCCGAGACCAAATCCAGCCCCACCCAAAGCTCGGCCACCCCAGCCCGAAGCAGCACTTTGCAGCAGGAACCCTGTTGCCATGGTGAGTTGCTTGGCAACCAATGGGTGATAAGGGAAGCTGGTTTCGCCATGTTCTCCGAGTTCATGAGCAAAGTGCTGTGGGACGAAGATGCCAGGACGGGTGGGCAGAGCTGGTGCACCGAGGCCACATGAAAGAACAAGCCGAACGGATTTGCAGGGCGGGTTTTCTCCTGCGAAACCAGCCTTGAGAACAGCACGGTGTTCCTCAGGCACCCCTGCCTTTTCTGTGTCCTGCTCTATCTTTTACCTACAGCAGCTCAGAAGGGCTGGGGCAGGTGGAAAGACTTCACGGAAGTAGCCTGCAGGTGGCTAAAGACCCCACAAAGGACAGGCCTGCAGGGGAAGTGAAGGGGCCATGCACGATCCCAGGGCCCCTGGCCGACTATCTGGAAAGGCGGGTGTACGGGGGGTGGGTGGCTGCATCCATGCAAGCCCTACTCAGAAAGTACGTGCTTAGAAAGGGAAGAGGGGCAGAGGAGGAGGAGAAACTCAGCACAGCAGTGGCCGATGTCAGTGGACGGGACGGCATGACCGGTGTAGCTGCTGCAAGACGGGGGAATTCGACAGACGGGGGAGCTGGCACTGGATGCGGGCTCTCGCACGGTGATGGGGACTGTCGCCAAGGACGCGTGCATCTGGCGTGGGAGGGAGCCTGCACCCAAGAGCTGTGCTCTGCGCCCGGCACGTCGTCCTGGCATGGCCCTTCCGAGGCCCGGACCCCCTCGGGATTGCTTGGGAGCATGCAAAGCCACGCCCAGCCCCCTCCAGTCCAGCATCCCGTCCACGCAGTGGCGAGGCAGCTGTGTGACAGCACCCTCACGCCCACCTTCGCCAGCTCCACCACTTCCAATCCTGGAGGCAGTTCCAGCCATCAGGACTCGTACCCCATGCTCTGCGAGCCAGAGGACTTTTTCAGACTAAACTTGCATGGTGCTGCACCCTATAAAGCCTTCCAAGCATCTGTTTCCAAAGGAGGCCATCCGCAGAAGCTAGAGCCAAACCCAACGCTGCTTCCAAGGCCTCTGCTCCGGCCCCACTCTGGCCAACCCCCCCTGCCCCTGCCCAAGCCCCCCCCCCGCCACTCGCTGCCTCCCCCGGCTGGCCCCACCTGCAGCTCAGCGATGCTCAGCTTGTGGTAAATCTTCTCATCGTCCCGCCGCTCGTCCTGGGGCACGGTGAGGTTGGCCAGCTGGGTCTCCAGCTCCAGCACCTGCTGCATCTGCTCCTCCGTGGAGGCTCTGCCTCCCCCCAGCAGCACCCCCAGTTCCACCATGTAGTCCAGGTAGGCCGCCAGCACCTGCCACAGGAGCACAGAGCACTGGGGTCATGCCAGGGCATCCCAGCAGGGCACGGCGAGGAGCCGGGCATCCCTCCCTCCAGCGGCCCTCATCTTCTTTTACTCTTTCTTTATTTTATTTAAAACTTGTGTATTCCATTCACTACTGAGGTCTCAGGACAGTCTTACAAGAAACGGGGGGGGGGGCACAGCATCAAATTAATAAAATCCCACATTAAAATCACACTCAGGCCTTAAAATGCTGGGAAAATAAAAAGGTTCTGGCCTGGCACTGAAAGGAATGAAGTGTCGGTGCCAGGCACACCTCTCTGGGGAGCATATTCCATAATCAGGGTGCCACCACAGAGAAGGTCCTGGCCTCACGTGCCCCTTTGCCAGCCTGAAGGGTGCTAGGCTGGGCTCCCACCACCTGGATGCCAACTTGGCATCTGGGGATAGAGGGTGTTGCATAAAAGAAATGGCCCTGCTTTCCCGTTTCTGCTCACTACTTGAATAGTGGGTATGGCAAGAAAAAGGCTTCCAGAGATTATCTCAACATCCAGGCCAGTTCTCACAGGAGCACGGCTTCCTTTACATGCCCTGGTCCTAAGCTGGACAAAGCTAGAAAGGTTTGTACATCGACCTGTGCGAGGAAACTTAGCAGAAGCTGGTAGAGTTGTTTTTGGCAGTATTACAACAACTCCGCTGGCTTTCCCCTGTTGCTTATCGGTTGCAGTTTTTGCTATCTTGGGGCTGACATTCCGGTCACTTAGACACAGCAACCGTGCCAGCTGATGGCTTGAGTAATCATGTGCAGTGCAAATCCTTGCAACTTGTTGCCCTGTTTATGCTCAACGTCCAGTTGCCTGTCCCCTTCCTCCACTGCAGTCCTGCTCTCCGGAAAGCAGAGGTGCAGACAGATGGCCCTATATAAATCCATCATATTAATGCATTATAATCATACAACCACACGGCTGTGGTTAAATGCACCCTGAAGCACAGCAAGGACACTGTGCAGCTGGAAGCTTACCTTTTTTTAATCTCATGCCGGTGTCATTTGCTAGGACAGGCAGGAGAAGGTCTGCTTGCCAGCTGCCCCCCCCCCCCGCAATGGTTCAGGGCAGACTTATCAAGACAGCAAAGCTCTCTCCACCGTCCTCCTCCTATAACTGCAATATCTCATCACAGGGGCACCGGCAGGAGCACTCCTAAACCCACTTGGCTTGCTGCAGGTACCAGGTACCCTGGTGTCCAGGTGATCTAGCTAGCTTGTTGTGAAGTAATGGAGGGCCGGTGCAATGTAGTGGTTGGACTGCAGGACTAGGACTCTGGACATCTGGACTCCAGCCGCTCGCTAGCCCTGAAACTCACTGGCTGACTTTGGGCCAGTTACGAACTCAGCCTAACCTGCCTCACAGAGTTGTTATTCTGAAGATAAAACAGGGGGGGAGAATCCTGGGTGGTTTGCAAGAAAGGTTGGGTATAACTGCCATGTAATAATCACAACTGAGAACTGAGATTCCTGAGTGCAGGCTGCTTGTAATTTTTAGCACACGAACCTCACCTTGATCCAGATGATGGGACGTGGTTACGGGGTTGGGATGGTTTGGGGTCTGGCAAGGGCTGCCCCCAATTGCATCTCTTACCTTCTCATTGGCCGTCTTGTTCAGGTAGTAATCTCGTGATGGTAAGAAAAGGCCTGACTGATCCAGCTGCCACACATAAAAGGGAACCAATGAATATAGCCCCACAACGTCCGTTCCGGAGCTGCCCCCGCAGTACCTTCTATTCTGCGTTAGCACAGGAGAAAGGCAGTGCCACCTAGACATCTCCAGAGCAAGGTGAGATGGATTCCCAATCACAGCCAGCAGCGGCTGGCTTTTGACTCAGATGCAACCATAAAAGCAAGGTGGTTTAGAGAGTCAAGGGGAAGGCCAACTCCAGGACAAACCTGGACCTCCCTAAAGCACGGGTGCAGAACCTCACGGGTGACAGCTAAATCTGGCCCTCTGGAGGTCCCCATCCAGCTGTACGGGGTCCCCCGAAGGCCACATCTTACTTCTGATCAACTACTGGGTGTTTGTGCTTTCCCAGCTTTTGTGCTGTTTTCTCTCAGGTTCTCATAGGGCTTGCGTAGTGAGAGCTTTACGCGAAAGCATGCAGATATTCATGGTATCCTGGCACGATCCCTTTTGCTTTCAGCTTCACCCACCACTGAAATGTGTCCCGTAGGATTCTCTGAGACGCAGCTCAGCCCTCATGCGAAAAGCCATTCTGCACCCTTGTTCTGGGGCTAGAGCTTAACTGAGGATGCAAACCTGAACTGAACTGTAGCACTTCAGGGTTTAGACTTGAATGCATGAATTATTTTGAGCATTGCCACTCTGCCTCATAACATCAAGGCCTTTGGGCTACTTACAACAAGCAAGCCTAGCCATTTAAATTCAAAGCAGCTACACAAAGACATCAAGACTGAAAGAATACAAAATGCAGTAAGAAGCATGACTTACAGAACCCCAAAACTAAGCACACACATTTTAAAAGTGAGAGCACAGACAACATGGATTCCTTAAAGAGTCTGGGATGGAGAGGAAGCTCCTTTCCTGGCACCAAAGACCCCACAAAGAGAGCACCCAGGGACCCTCTTTGGGAAAGCCACTGCATAACTGGGTGCTGCTCCTCAAAAGACTTCTTGCTAGTGGTCACCACAAACGTCATTTTAATGGGTGTGTTGCAGGCACAGCTGGGCTTCTGGGGAAGATCTTAATGTTTCAGTAGATTATCCTGGAAAAGCCTTTTGCGTAACTTGGGTCGTTTAGAGACAAAGGCAGCACTTTTAATGGGGAACCGGTGCAGCTGCTGCTCGTTTTTGCCCCTGGCTTTGCTTTGTGTCATCTCATATTTTGTATGGAGGAGCAGCTGCATGTGCTCTGAAATGGAAGATCTCCATGAGATGGAAGCCCAGGACTTTCAGCTCCTGGAGGCTGAGGGCAGCGTTCTGTAGTCATACGAACGACATGCAAGCCGTATCTTTCCGATAGACCAGACCCACGTTCCTCTCCATGTCTGGACTAAATTTGATTGGCCTTTTTGGCCTTCTCTACCCCACCAATCTGCTGCACCCGCTCCCTTGCCTTTCTGAAACTGGCACTGGCCAAACTTCCCATTCCAATGTTATTGTATCATCTGAAAGCTTGCACAGTTTTGCATGAGGGAAGACGGAAACAACCGATTTCCAAGGAGCAGATGACTGTGACGGGGCCAGGACATCGCCTTGCACTCCCTGTCCCAAGCAGGAGGCATGGGGCACTTGTGATTTCCCTCCTCGTCGTCATCCCAGGCAAAGCCAGGCAAAGCACACCCACCCTCCTTCTCAGCCCATGCGCCCTAAATTCTTTTCACTTCTTTACTGCATGCACTTCCTCTGATGCATCTTTTATGCTTCTGCCCACAATCGGCTGCACTTTGCCATCTTCCCTCTTCAGACCAGCACTGCTATATTTCTACTTGCATCAAAGTAGCTGCTAGATTTGTCTTTTGCCCCATCATAGGATGGAGAAAGTCAGGCAAGATCAGATGTGGGGTGGCAAAGGGACTGTACGCTTTCTGCTCTATGCTTGACCTGCTGGGACCGGGCTGGGATTACCTGGATGATGTTGCTGTTGGAGCTTTTGGAATCAGGTCCTACAAAAACCGTGAAGAATGGAGAAGCCCGGTATGTTCCTGATACCAGTTTCAAGACCTCCATGAAATTGCTCTGGCTCCAGGGTCCAGTGATGTTCCATCCTCCGATCTGGGGGGAAGCCAGCATGCAAAAATTACAGTTTGCAGGAAGGAAAGGTTTGTTTTAGTTCCTTGTAACCAGAAGCAAAGAGTTATGCAACTTAAGCTCTGCCTCCCCAGCCGTTTTCCCAAACCGGATGGCCTCCAGGTGGGTTGGACTACAATTTCCATCTTTCCCACCCAGCATGGGAACCTCAAGTCACTGTTTTTGATTCATTGACCATATCTTATTTTTATGAAAGAGAGGTAAAGTACTACCATACCTAAGGCTATAACCTCAATTTTGTTTTGGAATTCAGGTGACAGGGTGCTAAAACACGCTAGCACAGCCATTCCAAGCTCTCATGACCTTCTCAATGAGATCCATCAGTGGCTGGGAGCCCAGTTCCTCGATCTTCTGCTCCTTCAGGCAAGAGAGGTAGTAGCGCTGGGTCTTCCGCTCAGCCTCGCTGCTGGAATTGAAAGTGGCATTCTCTGGAGAGGGAAGCACACAGCTGGTGAGGGAGCAGCAGGGGCGGCAGCCCGGGGCCCAGCTGGTAGCTCTTCCCTGCTAGGCCCTTCTGCTCCGCAGCATGGGCCTCCCGGACTCGTGTCTCCTGCTCCAGCGGGAAGGAGGCCGCTCACAGAAGGGCAGAGCGGGCGCGCGAGTCCCCGCGAGTCCTCACCTAGCAGGTGCTTCATGATGGCTTGGTTCTGGTCCCAAATGCTGTTGAAGGTGCTCCACTTCGAGTGGCTGTCGGGCAGAGGGTTCCGCTTGATCCAGCCCCCGCAGGCATACTGGTAGAAATCGTCACAGGGGTTGGTCTCTCGGTCCAGCGCCTCCAGGATTTTCCCGGCCACAATGATGCAAGCTTCCGTCAGGCAAGTGGTGTGTGAGGGGTCTGCAAGGAAGGCAGATGTGCCCCATCGGGGGACCAAGCTGTGTGGGAGAGCAGGGGCGCAGAGCCAAAGGCCCGGGGAGCCGAATCCGGCTGCCCGGGGCTCCCCGCACTGGCCCTACCCAGTGTCACTGAGTACTTGCAGTTCCCCCACTTTGGCACACGTCCCCTCCTTCTAAAATTAATTTCCCGAGGCTGCTTATTTGCAATGCAGATCAATGATGCCAGTTTTGTCTCTGGCAGCTCAGTGAAAATGAGAACCAAGAGCTTTCAGCTCCTGAAGGTTGAGGGGCGAGTCACAGAGTCTTACTGTCCATCTTCATACTCCCCTGGCCGTTCTGATGGCTGGCCCCACGTCCCTCTCCAGAGCGGCTTTGCCCCCTTTGCTCTCTGGTTCTGAGAGGGCCTCTCCCCGCATCCACTCCCTTGCATTCCTGAGACTGGCCAAGCTTCCCATTCCAGAGCTGGACTGCTCTCCAAGGGAGGCGTGGCCTATTTCGAGCAGCAGGTGAGTGCTGACGGGCCTTGCGCTCCCTGTCCGAAACAGGAGATAGGAGGCGTTTCCTATTCCCCTCCTCGGCAACCCAAGCAAAGCCACTCAAAGCATAACCACTCTCCTGTTTAGCCCTTCTTCCTACTTTCTTACATAATTTCCTTTTCACTTCTTTTTCACCTTTCATGCACTGAAATGTGGTCCTGAGGCTGATGGAAATTTTGCACGCAGTTTTATTATCTTCGCTATCTTAGGCCCTAAAGGTAAGTCCTTGAGGCCAAGAAAGTGAGGCAAAGAGAAAGGAGACTCTGGGGCATCTTTATGGGTGACACTTCTTCCCCTGCAAAGGCCACGAAGAAGAGCTGGGCTACATGTTACACCGACGGGGATGCTGCTGAGAAAGGGGTCTCCCCTGAGGACTTCTCCGTAACCCCTTGCTCTGACTTTTAAGAGCACTCTGCACATGTCGCAGTGCGTCACACTGAGACATCGTCAGCCCTGTTCCTCATTCGTGGTAGAGGAAAGTCATACCAACGGTGGCACACGGCACGGCATGGTCTCCTGGATCCAATGGACCGCATGTGTGTGGCCCTTTCTTGGTCACACGCCAGCTGGCTCCGAGGAGAATCTGCTAACTGAATGGGAAGACGAACGCTGGTGCATGGAGCCCTGTGGCAGAAAGGCCAGGATCCACCCTGCCCAGAAGATGGTCTGTCCCCTCCCAGGCACAGTGATGGGCACTCTCGGTTAGCACAGGATGCCTGTAATTAAGCCCAAGCATGTGAACTAAAATAACCACATACTGCGGGTTCAGAGAAGACGATAACCCATGCTCAGCAACTGAGTGTGGGCTGTTGCTGAAACATGGTTTAAAACCACATCTGAACCCAGCTGTGCTAACAAGTCATCACTTCCTAACCAGGAACAACCCGTGAAGAGAACCCGTGGTTTGTTGCTGGGTTGTGAACTGTGGGTTGGTCATCATAATTTGTTATCTTCTCTGGGTTCAGATAACATGATAACCAAAGTTTCACTGACAACCCAAATTCAACGACAGTCCATACTCAAGTCATATCGAACCTTTGGATGTGGGTTATTACATTGTTTGAACCCATTACTTCCCAGTTTACTCCTGTCTCTAGTTCTCTTCTTCGGTTGTTTACTCCAATGTCAAATTTTAAATTGCAGCCTCCTTGCTGCAGGGACCTGCCCTCAGCACTCTGTCATGTGCGCCGTACACAGAGAGCAATATATTCCTAGACAGTATCTTGCCAGAAGGCAAATCTTTGCAAGGGGCAGCAAATCCACAATAGATACTATTATTTTTAATTACATTTCTATACTGCCCTGTAGCCAAAGTTCTCTGAGTGGTTCACAACATCTGAGTCACCAATCCTGATCTGAACCGGGCCTGACCCTGCTTAACTTCAAAGATTAGGCAAAATCAGGTACTTCAGGCTATATGGAAGCTATACTTCCCTGCATGAATCCTTCAGCAGCCAGGTTAATGACTAAAGGGATCTTTGGATGGAGGAATCTTAAGAACCATCCGATTTACAAGAATACTCTTGCTCTTGTTTTCATTTCATTTCTATGCTGCCCAATAGCCAAGGCTCTCTGAGCAGTCAAATACAAAATATACATACAGAATAAAGCACCCCATAAAACTCCAGCATGCAACTTTATAAGAGCTAAAATTCCGATATACAAAAATATAAAACAGTTCATTAAAAAACAGACCTAATTAAAACAGCTGATATAAAACATCACACAGCATTAAACATCTTGGTCTAGGAACAGAGGGCAGTTTTAACCTGATGCCAAGAGAGGGCCATGCCGGTGCCAGGCTAGCTTGCTCCTGCTGCACTCCTTCCCCAGCGCTCCCCTCACGAGCAGGAGCTGAGATATTTAATTATTCCATTTGCAATGGGGGTGGAAGGTGGATGCGAGCCACGCGTGGTCCTCCCAGCCCTGGCCACGCTCCCCACCTACCTTTACTGTACTGGATGCCCATGGCGATGACGGAGCTCAGGAGCAGCAGAGCTACAAAGAGGGAGAGGGCCAAGAGCGCCAGCTTCAGCGGGGTCCGGGAGCCCAGGCGGCTGAGCAGGGGGCCATCCCCTTTCCTGAAGCCCACCTGGAAGGCACAAGCAACGCCAGGGGATGAAGAGGGTGGGGGAGAGGGGCAAGAGCAGGCCATGCAAGAGATGGACTTGTCAAAACATCAGCTACCTCCACGGCCAGAAAAGGATTCTCTTCATTTTAAGCTTTTCTCCCCCATCAACCCACGTTATTTTGATTATGTATAAAAAATGGTTCGTAAAGAGCCATTGAAAGACAATCGCTGGCCAACCCAGGAGGTATGATACACAATAAACTGGGAATCAGAGAAGACCAAAAAAGGAAGCCACAAGCTCGGGTACCATTTTAAAAGTGGTGAGCAGACCTGCATACGAACCTTTCGGCTGGCGATTTCTGGGTCCCGCTGCTTCCCCGGAGCCAGCAGCTGCTGACCCAGGCTGCCACTTCTGACACAGCGGCCACCTCACCCTTCCTTACCTCGGAGGTGTTTGTACGTGGCACAACTGGAAGGGGGCCGTGCCTGCCTTCCCTTTCCTGGGGGAGGGGGCACCCAGCTCAGGCTGCCGCCCTTTGGAGCAACCTGTTAGTCCAGAGAAGAGTGTTGCCTGCCCTTGAAGGATCTTCCCCTCCCCTGGAGGGGAGGCAACTTCACAGCAGCCCCCAAGCTCAGGTGGGGGGGCTGCTGGAAAGGCGACTGGGGTGCAGCTCTTCTAGTGAAAACAACAGTGAAGGAGATCCTGGAAGCCGCCCATCTTAGCACTAAATGAAGGTGCACAACGAAAAACAATGTGGACATACATTAGGGGGTTCAGTCCTAGGGCTTGGCCCAAATTCCAGGGTTCAGTCCTGAAGTGTGTCAAGAAAGGAACGAATATAAAAATGTAAGAACTGGCTGGATGATCCCTGAGTTTCCTCGGGTTCAGCACTCTGGTTCTGACAATGGCCAGATGGAGACAATGAACCTCTCCTTTATAATTTTATGATATCATAAGCAGAGGTACACTGCCTTTGCACATGGAGGTTCTATTTAAGCATCCATGCACTGTTAAGATTTTTATTTTGCAGAATGGTTTGCTCGAAGAAAATTCATTCCCTTCTTCCTAAATTACCCCCACAATTCAAAGGAAATTGCATTTTGGAATATTCTGAGCCCATCTCACTATAAAGAGTGTGACCATTGCTGGATCTCGGTGAAGGTAATTAGAAAATGTTTGTTATTTCTGTTAATGTTGATTGAAGTTTGCATTATGGCCTTTAAAGCTTGCATTTTAAAGGAGTTAAATTGTGGTCTTGTATTGTGGTCTTTAAAAACGGCTGAAAACACCTGTGCCTTAAAAGGGGTCATATGCCTCCCATTTGATTTTTAATTATTTAATATGTAAGCATCTTATTTCATCAAAAATAAGATCATTGAATCTGAATCCCCCCAGTGATTTTGGAGGGCAACAAAGGTTTTTTGGCAAAGCTGTTTTCCTTCCAGTGTTGCGAGCCGAGGTTCGTTCTTAGCTGTCAAAAGCCACCGACCACTTTCCTTGCAAAACCTTCTTTATTGCTCCCAAGTACAAATCACCCAGAATGAACCTCTGAACATGCACCAAGTGCTTTGTTAAACCCAACCTAGTATTTACCTGTGGGAACAATCTAGCATTTACCTTATGAACACGTGTGGGCCCCGTCCCCTCCAGGGGGGCTCACACTTCTCCTCTGCATGCTGCTCATCCAGTTAGACCCCGCCCCCCCGCTGATGCCTTGCCACGGGGTCGAGACCAGGGGGGCCTGGTCTGGGTCTGAGAATTCCTCATCCGCAGAGATCCCTCCCACTGGCTGCACATCTCGGTTGCTCCCAGAAGCTGCCTGGCTTGGCAAAGCATCTTTGCCTCGAGGGAAGCCCCTCCGCCTCCTTCCTCTCAGGACCTTGACATAACCCACCCTCCTCAATCCCACTCTGATATGTTGATATTCTGATTCTGAATCATCTGGGATGCAGCCAAGAGTCCAAAAGAGCGATTGCCGCAAAAAGCCAGCCTTCTCGGTCCCAACAACTAGCTTCTCTTCCTGCTGGAATCAGATTCCTTGCTTCTATCTTTGCCTCCCCCCCCCCCCCCCGTCTCCATTCCAGCTCAGAAAGTAGCTTCGGCACAGTAATTACACAAGCAACAGAGAGAGCGCCATTATTAATTTAATATAATAATTGTGTTGCCAAGCAGCGGCTGGGCAATCCTCCGGGAAGGAACAGGGAGGCCAAAAATACGTCCCAGGCAGATTGTGCACATATCCCGTGCTGGTCCTGAGTCCCTGGAAGGTCTAATCCAGCCTACCTCCACACTGTCAGGAGAGGTGTTCCCATCTCCAGTAGCATCTGGCGCATCCTCATCCTGAAACATTGCTCGTTTATACTCAGACATCTGAAGAGAGAAAGCAAAATGCAAAAGAAAACACTAGCAGTACAGAAATTCAGAGGACAAAACACCAGCTCCACCAGGGGTCCAGCAACACAACCAACATGCAATTGTTTTAAGCTCATTTTAAGGGACTTTTGGGAACTATGGTTTTATTATTCATCTGTCAAGGTGTGGTAGTGAGAGTGTGGGGCTGGACTCAGGAGACCTGGGGTCTAGTCCTCACTCAGTCATGAGGCTCACCGGGTGACTTTGGGTCAGCCACTTGCCGTCAGTCTAACCTACCTTACAGGGCTGTTGTGGAGAGGAAAAAAGGAAGCTGTGTTGGCTTGCCAAAATGCTCCCAGCTATGAACTATTCCCAATAACAGGCTCCAGACAGGTACAGATCCCATATGTGTGATGCACAAAGAAGAGGAAATGGAGCCCTGGTTTCCTCACAAGAGGGAATAAAGGCAGAATATAATGCAAAACAACAACAATATAAGCGAGTCCATTTCAGACTCAGTGGCTTTGAAATTCAGACCTTAAGGCTTTCTCTGTGCTGAAACTTTCATTTTGTGTTTGGCAAATGTACTTCCATGTACTGGATCCCAAGTGAACTGCCTTTAACAGAGAGCTGGACGTACGTAGCTTGAAATGCACTTGGCATTTTGATACCATAGTCTACAAGGAACACAATTTTGCTCAGGGTTATCCTCTGTTTTGAGACTCTTCACCTACTTACAGGAAGGTAAAGTTCCGCAGATCTTAAACACTCCCTCAGTTTAGAAATGATCAAAGAAATGGAGATGCATGTGGGAAGAATCAAGAAAGAAACAGTCGGGAACACAAGTCCATGCTAAGAGGGCCAGGAGGTCATGTTTTATCCTGACAGAGGTTAGGTGCTTTTAATGGGCAACAATTAATTCAACAGAAGCAATTCAATTTTAATTCAACAGAAGCAGCCTGTCCTGGTACAGAAATGTGGAGGTGAAGAAAGATGCAGCCACTGACTGAATTTCTCCCTGCTGTGCAGCTGTTCAAAGGGGCAATTCTACAAAACAAAACCATTCTGTCACTGTTCCATCTTTGGATTTGCACCCAAGTTGCTGGAAGAATGAAGTTCTGTTTGCCTTACACAAAACACACACACTTTTAATAAGCGCATCTGTTCCTTCCCAACCACCGATCGACTCCTAGGTTAGGACAAGCTGATAGAGCAGATAATAGGATTTTAATTCTAGAAAATGTTTAAAAAAGGATATTCACATTTGGTAGCAAGAGGAATTAGGATTGATATTCAAAGGAAATGATCCAAATCAATCTTTTCTACCAATGCTTCCGCACATGGCTTTCTTAACATCAGCTGTGGCTTAATTCGGTCTATCCCTTTGGATAAATTGCATTTGAAATGACGTAGCTCCTCGTTCATTGCTGCCAAGTTCTGAATCCAGGGGACGTGCATTTAATACTGGTCTGATTTGCAGGAATTAACAGACGAGGAAGTTTAGCTCCCCGAATCAAGCAGCATCTCCAGTTCTCTTCTGCAGCTCAGGCTTCCGGGCTTGTGTTTGCATCGATGCATGCAGCATCTCCTGGGATCCCTTGCTCCACAGCTGCAAGAGATTCCCATTTGCAGTCTTGCAGCTGACATCCCTCCCCCGTCGGGGGCTTGGCTGGGAGGGTGCCTTTGTGTATCCCGCTCAGGCCCATGCATGTCCCCCTGCCCAGTGCTGGGGGCATTGCTGGCCTAAGTACAGTCTTCAGAGCCTGGCAATGAGGAGGCATCTGCCCCAGAGGGCTAAGGAGGCTTTCACCCCTTGCAAGTTGCCATGGCTGTCGCACCAGCTCGTTCGGCATCAGTATTCCTGACAAGTGTCAGACTGGCTTCTCAGCGGCTTGTCCTCCTGTTCTTGGCAACCTGCAGCCCCGTCCCCTAGCAACGCTGCAGCCGCCACCTCTGCTTCCTCCGCACCTTTCTGCCTTCACCCAGTGTGCTGCGCCTGAGCTTTCCGCACAGACGTGGCCAAGCCGAAGAAGGGGCTGATGCCGGACTAAGATGGAGCCGGGCTCTTCGTGAAGGGACCTCTGAAGCGCCACAAAATGCGAGGCTGGGGGACGTGGAGCGAAGCAGCCACGACGCGGAGGCCATTCTGAAGGGCCGATCTGCCCCTGCTCGCTGCACGCGAACTGATCTTCTCCCTGCAGTAAGCCACCCAGTCCGTGTTCACACAAGCAGGTTGCCATGAGCAGAGGGTCGTGTATCCGAAGAAAGGAGGGATTTAAAGGTGCCTCTGGCTGCAAACACTAATTAATACTAATGCCACCAGTATTAATCAATTACTTTTATCCTATCCTCCTTCAGAACAGCTGCAGTTAGCACACTTGGAGGTATTATCTACTCTAAGCTGCTGACATAACTTTATGCCGTGGGAAGGCATACAGATGCCATCAATACGAATCCTATTTTATTCTCACAACGATGTTGTGAAGTGGGCTGAAGTAGGTTAGCCTGGGACGCTGGTCCTGTTCACAAGTGACCTATCCCATATGTGTGTAAAAGTCCTAGAAGGGACCACACCATCTTTGTATGTCCGGTGACAACGCAGCCATGTGAAAAGGCCTGTACGTGTAAATGCCCTGCAGGGGTGTGCAGCTGAACATGGCCACATGCACACTCTGCATGGCCAGTCACTGCGGTCTGTTACGACTGTGGCAATGTCACCATATTGTGATGGGCTGCAATAGACCGAAACTGGTTCAGACAATACGGTAGTGCACCCTCAAGGGTTGCATATGTGTGGACCGATGGTGCCCAAACCTCTTTTGCCTGCAGCCCCCTTTCCTCTTCAGTGGCAACCTTAGCGCCCCCACGCTTCTTTCTTTGCATTAGGTCCACTGCTCTACTGCAAACTTAAAACAAGCAATCACGCCCCCAGCCCGCCCCTGGGTCTTTCCACTGTCTCAGGGGGTGGTGCCACCCACTTTGGGAATCACTGAGGGATAGTATGGGCTGTTGCTGAACATAGGTTGTTGTTGCAGCATGGGTTATTGGGTTCTCCGAACCCAGCTGAAATAACAAACCATGGTAAACAACCCATGGTTCACAACCCAGCAACAAACCATGGGCTCTCTTCATAGGTTGTGGTTAACATGGTTTGTTAGGGCAGTTAGGTTTAGACACCAGAATAACCCACAGTTTAACAACAACAACCCATAGTTCAGCAATTCACACTCAACTCTTAAGTGTCAGTTATTGTGTTGCCTGAACCCAGTCGGTCTGCTGGTCCTGGGCTAGCTCAAGTCACCATTCACTTGGCGGGGTGTCCTTGACAAGCCCCCGCAATGCAGTTCACAAGACCCTTTCCGTTTACGAAAAGTGCTACAGTGACTTACCAAAAGGCAGCAGTTAGCTCAGAGGCGAGCTGAACCGAGTCCGAGACCAACACGCTCTCAGTTGTCGGATATCACACAGGCTTGTGCCACATGTGGCTCCCGAGTGGGCCCGAGGCTGGCAACTGGTGGGTCCCTGGATGGTTCCAGAGGGCTCTGGAGGACCTTCCGACTGGACTGGATGAGAGCTAACAAACTGAAACCCAATCCAGACAAAACCGAGATGCCGTTGCTGGGTGATTCCTTGGACTGAACTCTATTTTAGATGGGGCTGCACTCTCCCCGAAGGAGCAAGTTGGGAGCCTGGGGGTGCTCCTTGAGCCTTCTTTGGGAGGGAAGCTTGGTGGGTGGTGACAAGAAGGGCTTTTCAGTGGTGGCTCCATGGTTGTTGAATGAGCCTGAGGCCTGCCTGGAACCGACTTTACTATATTTTTGGCATCAGGTCAAGACTTTCCTCTACTGCAAGGCATTTAATTAGTTAGGGCTGTGTTCATTTTTAATCCAGGTTTTATCTTGCTTAAGTTATTAGACCTTCAAATTTAAATGTGGCTTTAAATGTTGTGCATGGATTTTTTTCTAAGGTTATACTGTGATGCATTTTAGACTGTGTTTTAATGGATTGCTGTGAACCAACCAGGGAGCATTGGCTGTTGGACAGTATGGAAGATGGATGGACAGATGGCCACTTTCAAAGTGAGCTGGTTAGCATGGCTGGGGGCAAGGCCATAAGCAGTGGAATCATTAGACAGGGAAGTAATGTCTAAGTATACAGAGATTTTCAGAACTGACTAACAAGTTAGTCAGAACGTGCTAGGAGTTTTGCTGGGTGCTGAAAGACAACCCCTTTTTCCAGCCCCTCCTGGCTTCCAAGCCCCCATTTGTTATGGCCTCACAGATTTTCAGTTTTCTCTCCAGAGACCTTATGGAAACAGGAAGGGCGAAAGCTAGAAAACAACTGACTCTCAAGGTATCAGATGACACGTTCCCAGAATACAGGCACGGCCTTATACCCGAGTGCTAAAGAGCAATCCAGCCACAATCTCAGCCATTCCTATCTGGGCACAGTGGTTTGCTGCTGGCCTGCAGTGATCTAGATGAGACGGCAGGCACAAACACGAAGGGGCGCGAGGAAAGGAACATTGTCCAGCCTCTGCACAGGAGTCAAGTTAGAGACCTGTCTATCCACACATGGGATAAACTGCTGATGAAAACAGAGTGGGAGGCGTACGCCTCGATCCGGGCAAGAAAAGCAAACAGCTCCAAGGACGCTAAGGGTACATGTTTAGGCTGAAGGATGGTTTGTTGAAGGATGCTAACAGTTGCAGGATGAAGTTTGCAGAGGGTTGCACTAAAGGGGCAACATTCTGTTTTGATCCAAGAAGGGATCAAAGATCCTTTATTTTGCAAGGCTGGGCAGAGAAAAGAACAAGAGGTAGGTGACCCTTGGGTAGGGTGTCGTTGGTGAGGATCTCCGATCTCGTCTAGTATGCAAGGCAGCTCCATACTGCCTCCAGTTCCTTGAAAGGACCTTAGGTCTGCCAGAGTGAGGGCCAATGGCACGCTGCCCCGCTGGTGCTCGGAAATACACGGCTGCAACAAGCACCGCGTCTTGTTCTCAACTTCTGTTCCTGC